TCCTCAGGCTCGAGAGTTCAGGTGGAGCGGAGAGTTCACGTCTCACCAACGAGGAGGATGATGCAAGCAGAGAGAACGCCTCCTCTACTGCAGCAGCGAATTCAGTCCAAGAGACATGTTGCCTCCTCCCCTTCCTCCTTCTCACCTCCTCCTCCTCTCCTTTCCCTCCCCCCCTCCCCTCCCCCTCCCCTCCCCCCCCCCCTCCCTCTTCTCCTTCTCCCTCCCTCCCTGCCCTTCTCCTTTCTCCCTCCCTCCTTCTCCCTCTCTCTTTCCTGGCTCTTCTCTCCTCTCCTCGTCTTTCTCTTTCCTTGCCTTGAAATCTTTTCAGGTCTTTTCCCGCTGCCAGGCAGCTGCGAGCTCATCTTTCGTGGATGATGGACAAGCTGGGAGCTTGAGAGTTTCAAGTGACAAGCGAGTGAGAATAAAAAGAAGAGACAGTGCTGATCAAGGAAAAGTGAACGATAGAAAACGAACAGTCGAGACTGTAGTAGCGGGAGCAGGAGCAGGAGCAGGAGCAGCGGAAGGACGAGTTCGGAAGGTTTACATGGCAACTAACTTGCGGCGATGATATGTGGGAGACGAGAGTTGATGGACTTGGAAGAGGAGGACTGCATGAGAACATCCCAGGAGGTTGTCAAACTTCTTTCAAACCTGCGCAAGTCCATCACTTCAGCTCCTCCCCCGCGTTCCCACCTGATCCTCCACAGTCGTCCGTCAAACATTTCGCAGTTCTGCTTGTTGCTGATGAGCCTTCTTCTTATCTTCCTCGACCTTCTCATCACAGCAAGTGCAAGTGACGTGTACTCCCTTGCGCTGTCAGCTACAAACACTCCTCCCTCGCATGCTTCTCCCAGCGACGCTGATACTCGCCCGACCCATCTGCCGTATCTTCTTCATCCACTCCAACAGCACAAGTCTTGCCTGACCTGGTCGACGGCCATGTCACTATCGGAACTCCCGCCCACAACATGTCTGCCGCTGTCGTCTGTGCGTTGAACAAGGTTGTATCTAGCAGAACGTCGCAACCTCGAAGATGAAGCATGTAGCTCAACCTGTTCTCATGTCACCTTCGAGGCCAGGACACGCATGTAGAACGTTGTTGCTGATTTTGTTGATGTTGATGTTGATGTTGATGTTGATGATTGAAATGATGTCGACGACGATGTCGACGATGATGTCGACGATGATGGTGATGGTGGTGGTGGTGGTGATGATGATGATGATTGTGATGGTGGTGGTAGTGATGATGATCATGATGATTATATTCTCACCTGTCAGGCAACCTTTTTAAGAAACCTATCCTTGATGCCTGCAGCCCAACACGTCCAAGGACTTGAAGGATCGTCTGATTAGCATGGGAGAAGAAAGATCTTGTTGGTAAGACGAGAACGCTGAGACAAGTCAAGGGACGAAGAAGCAGCAAACAGGCGACATCTCACGAGTTTGGTAGCAATCTCAACAATTCAACCCACAGCATGAAGCTCTCCGGATCGATCTTGTAGTACTCATGGATGGCACAGAAGACAAAAGTGTTCTTGTGTTGCTTTCTCGTCAAGTTCACAAAGTCAACGGAGGACATCAAGTTTGTCCGCCAACTTTCCATCGCCTTCTCGCCCGGGAAATCTCGGGGGCCCACGGCAAGCTGAGGGTGGAGATGAGGGAGCGAGTTGAACTGGAAGGAGGGAGGGAGGAGGACGAGAGACTCTGCTGAGAGCGAGGAATCGACATGCTCGGGAGGGAAGACGATAGGATCTGCCATGTCCGATTAGCGAGAAAGGAGCAGGAGCAGGAGCAGGAGCAGGAGCAGGAGCAGGAGCAGGAGCAGGAGCAGGACAAAAAGGAGAATCAGGATCAGCAGCAGCAGCAGCAGCAGCAGAGGAGGAGGAGGAGGAGGAGGAGGAGGAGGAGGAGGAGGAGGAGGAGGAGAAGCCGCGGGAGAAGGAGAAGGAGAAGGAGCAGATCTTGTCCACCAGTGACTAGGTAGTCGACTACACCCCCGAGAGACGAGTAGAAGCCGTGAGCGTGTACTAGCAGAGCAGCCGGTTTGAGCCTGACAGGAGGTGAGCAGGAGGGAGCGAGGAGGAAACAAAGGATGGACACGCATGACAGAAAGAGAAACGGGGGAGAGGATGAAGGAGGAGAAGACAGGAGAAGATAGGTGCAGGAGACTTGTGATAGGAGGAGAAGAGAACTCACAGCAAGAGTGTCTCCAGTGTCGAGAACTTTCTGCCGACAGGCAGCCAACCCAACAAGTCCAGCACGACATGTGCTTTGAGGTTGTTGATGACGGCGGCTGCTCCCGAACAGTCAACCAGAGCAATGAGAGGAGAGCTCGTGACAGACCTGCATGTTGAGGAGACATGCTGGGGGGCAGGACGAGGAGGTTGTTCGTACAAACGCCCGCAAGCAGCGTGTCTTGCGTTTCCTGCCACACCACGAACATGTATCGGATCCTAACTCCTTCTCTCCCCTGACATTGCCATCACTTAACGTGAAATCAGGAGCACAACATACAGGATTGTCGCTGCCTTCGAACGCCCTGGCAACCAGCCCGTGCAACCCCTTCTCGCTCACATCGTTCATCACAACAGCTACTACGAGCTTGTCGACGAGGACGGGAAGCGACGACCAAGTCATGACTTGAGTCTTTAGTCGCAGTCATGCGAGGCAAACATCTTTTCATACTTGCAAACACCTGATATTCGTACATCATCTTGACTGCGAACAACCTGGCTATCTTGTTGGCCAGGTGTAACGGCAAGGGGGCCATTAGAGCCTCCCAGGGACTGACGGCTCTAATCAACAGACAACAGACAACAAGAGCAGAATCACTTGATGAATGATGTGTTCATACTCGTATCTTGGACTAGAAGGTGCGTCAGAAGGTTGAGGTCTCTCTTGTACTCATCCCAGTTCATCAGCGACATCTGTTGAGACCATCAGCAATGTGTTGACAACATGTCTCCTCCTCGCCTGTCCTGAGAACCACAACACCTTGACAACTTGAAAGTCGTAAGATGAATGATACACAAGACGAACTCTGCTCAAACCTGTCATGAAGTGCAGGTCGATGGTACAGGATGAGGTGGAAGGAGGGCAGGTCCGTGAGATGAACGCTCGAAGCATGTTCAAGCAAGGCTGACAACTTCCGTCTCAACTGCACGACGACACCATCATCATCACTAGCTACGTTACCTTCCCCCTCTTCATCTCTGACAGAACAGAAGCATAGTTGAGCAAACAGGTCGGGTGGGACTTCCCTTGTGACATGCCAATGACCGAACGCCGCGCATATCCTACATGCATGTCAATCTTGTCACCATCGCGCAACTGCAGATACCTGCTGATAGCGATTTCTTTCCTAACAATCTCATCGCAACTCCGGCATCTTGTGCAAACCTGACAACAACTTGAGCATATCACCGCCACCAGGTCCGGATGAGCACTTGAAGTCGCGAGAGAGCCTCGCAGCCGTCAGGAAGCATCGAGAACCATCCGCGAGACTGTAAGCGAGCAAGATGAACCCGATCTCCTGCACCACCAATATTCTCACTCACTGCACTCAATGAAGATGTACTCACATGCCATCTTGACGAGTTGTCTGCCCATGAAGCAACAGTTTGAAGCTGCAATGAGCTCTCGATAACATTGCCAGACTTAGGAGACAGGTCAGAGTGTTGGGCCACTTCGATCCCGTCAGACAGAAAGTTGAAGTTGGTTAACAGCACTTGTTCGTGAGTATCGCAAGACAGACTGCGGGAGAAACGTCACCATCCATCGCAGGAACATCGCAAAAAGTACGGCAGCACCTGATGATGAGTAACAGAATAGTCCTCAGCAAAAGATCGTCTTTCATCTTCACCGCTTCTGCTTCTTCTCCGCCGAGCCCCCACCATGATCATCGTATCATAACTTCTCAACCTCCTGAAATCCTTCTGTTGCGTTACATGCTTCCTTGTTCTTGATCGGACATCTCATTCACTGTCTCTTTCTCTGATCCTGCCATGTCTTGTTCCCTCCTCTCTGATCCTGCCATGCCTTCTTCGCCATCTCCTCTCCCTCTTGCCCATCTTGCCATATGAGCTAGTCGACTAGTCGCATTGCTTCAGGTACCCGTACATTTTAGCAACCCACCCCCCATTCGGAAGAATATTGTTATCTAAATGACCCCTCCTCCGTGTAAATTTGCTACCCTACCCTTACGATCCCATGCAATTTGGGGAACGGAACGACTGAGGGGGGCCTGCTGGGGGAGCTTGCGAGAATGGCGGGGGCCGCGACGCGCCAAAGGGGGAGGAGGAAGGGAGAGGAGGAAGAGGGAGAGGAGGAGGAGAAGCACAGCGTGACGCATCCTGTAAGAAACTCTCTCGTCCTCTCGTTCTCATGCTCCTCATTTTCTGAAGTGAAGGTGCGGGTTCCAACGAGTTCTCCTCCGCTCGCTGCATGCTAGGACACATTGTGAATCAAGCGAGAGGGCCTGTGTCGTGATGGCATCTCGGAGTTCTTATCTCCTCCGCGCTCTTGTCCTTCAGCTGCTGATCTCAGCCTCCTGTATCTCGCCCATCGAAGCTGAACATCTGGTCGCCTCAGTACGGTCACATGCAAACTCGTTTCGCTGCCAGCTTCTCGCAAGCTCCAACTTTCATCCGCCAGAAGCTGCGAAGAGGGCGTATGATGCGTCACCTCCAGCTAAGCCAACAATGGCTCAGAATGCTCTTGCTGGGGCCATAGCAGGATTTGTGGTATGCTGAGTCGAGTGCGAGATGGATAAAAGTGAGCCTGTAGCGCAGGCTCGCATTGCGGTAGCTCCGATTGATCTCATCAAGATCCGCCTGCAAATTCAGACCAATCCGATATCGCAAGCAAGCAAGTTCAAGTGAGCGACCTAGACCTCCTCTTCCTTAGTGGTGAGAGGTTCACGTCAGGTATAAGGGGCTCTTCGGTACCATGAAGACGATAGTGAAAGAGGAAGGAGTGTTTGCACTGTGGAAAGGAAACGTCCCAGCGCAAGTCATGGTTGCAAACACCTCCTCATGATCTGATCGACTGAGACGGCAGCAGGTCATGTCTTTCTTGGCGATCAAGTTCTCAACCTATAACGCTGCAAGGGACCTCATCCGCTCAGTCGACAAGGTAACGCGATAGGGTCCTGCAGGTGAGGATGACGTTGAGACCCGACAGGTGCAGTGGACCAACACGCATGAAGGTCAGTTGTCCATGAACTTCGTCGCTGGAGGAATTGCCGGGGCCTCCGCTACGATCGGTAAAGTGTAAGAGGAGGACGCTGGTCCCGTCTGAACCACAGGAAGGAACCTACCCCTTGGATCTCTTGAGAACACGAATTGCATCACGGACAGGTGAACCAAGCTATACATGTGCTGCTCGTCTGATCGCGAACTTCCAGACGTTGTTCGGTCAAGCGTTGTTGCTCAGGAGATCTCCGCCCTCTGGCGAGCTTCAGGGTTGTTTGCGTTCTACCAGGTTACAACTCGTCGTCATACGGGCGTGATGGTGTGAACTGCTGGTGACAGGGTCTTGTTCCTTCTCTTATCAGCATCGTTCCCTACATGGCCATACAACTCAGGTCACACAAGTCATCGTCCCCCTTCCTCTCCTCCCTCACCATCAGCCCTGCAGCACGTTCGAGGCCGGCAAGGCAGCTTACATGCGCCTGCTGCACATGGACAACGTGGATGGGGATTTGGATATGTCCTCCAAGAAGCTGGGGCTGCTTCCGAGTACGATCATAGGAGCTGCTGCTGGTGCCCGCGCCCCTCCTCCCTTGTTCATTTTGGTGACTTTATTGCAGGAGGGTTCTCGAAGTTTGCTACCTTACCCCTCGACCTCTGCAAGAAGAGGATGCAGATGAACATGGCGAGTGGCAAGGGAGTCTTCCAGGTGACCAGCGGAGGATCGTGTGGGGGGGGCTGACGGTTAGAGTTAGACGATGTCAATCATCGCCAGGGAGGAGGGGGTCAAGGCCCTGTGGAAGGGAGGGCTCCCTGCCGTGTTCAAGACGATCCCAGCTACAGCCATCACGTTCGCGGTGTACGAGGCATGCAAGCACATTCCTCTGACACATGCAAGACAGCAGACCTAACAGCATCGCTGAAGCTAGATGCCTGCTTATTCATCTTTGATCCTCTACATAGTTGCTCACCCGCTCTCTTACTCATTTCATTGCGCCGCGCTTCCTGTCTCATGTTGGCACCGACAGGCCGATCATAAGGGTCTCAAATTTGAGCTCGCTGCTCACCATCGACAACATTCTTGGCTTCTGGGTGCTGTTCAAAATCTTATTGTTTGTAATCCGTGATGCAAAACTGCACAATCTCCTTTCATCTGCCTTCTCTTCATGTCATTGATTTGAAACAAACTATGACACACCTGCCTCCCATTTTGCCATTCTGAGTTGACCAGTCTCGCTCGCATCGCTTACTCACATACCGGAACTTTTGATACGGACAAGATGATTTTCAACTTACCTCTGCCATCCACATCCACTCTTCAGAAACGAGATAGGCATCTCATGGAACTGCTGGGCAATGATAGGTCCAGAGTGTGCACATCTATGATGGATGAATTCCGTCGAATGAATCCTGAGCATTGTCAGACTGTTGTGAATTGTTGTGCGATCGACAAAACAATGATTAATGCAGGATTTTGTTCTGTGTTTGAGGAATGTGAAGCAGATCTGGAGGGTACAACAAGTCATGAACCTGACTTGGCTCAGCGAATTGACCTGCTTCAAGATGGCAATGAAAAGTTTTGTTTGACAGGCAAGACAGAACAGTATATCAACGAACATTTGGTTGGCATGTTGAGGTCCGATCATCAGAGTGTGCATCAGAGGAAGAGTGATATGGAGCAAACATACAAGAAGGCTCGAAATGCAGTCGTTGCCAAGCATAGAATCGAAGGCGAATCTCCAGAGAATGTCAGGTTTACAACGCATCGACGTTACCTCAAGACAGTAATTGAAGGCTGTGAACAGATTGTCAACTGTAACCTTCGAAGGACAGATTGTAGCCGTGGACACACATCCACAGATACGGAGTCATTTGAGCAACATTTAAGGTCTATGGGGTAAAAGGAGTATGACTTCAATGCACTGACGTTCTGCACAGACAGCGTTGAAAACCTCTGGTCTTTGATATGTCATTTGAACAAGAAAGATTTCTTGAGGAAATTCAACAAAGAATGCACTGAGCTCTCAAAAAAACTCGATCCCTTTTACGGAAGAAGAGATAGAAAGGACCGTTGGATTGTGCATTGCTGTCACACGCTTGCTCTTTGGTTTCTTGACGGGATCACTTCGTGTGTCAACACTGGATCGAGAGATACTTGTAGGAAGTTTTCCTAACAAATGTCAAAAGTGAAGGCGTATACAAAGCGAACAAGTATATGTATCTCTGAATATGAAACGTTTATTTTGCTTTGTACAGATTTTCATTCTTCAGTTATTCATCCTCGAAACAGTTCGTCGTAGGATCGCAGTTCCACTCCGCTGGCAAGAACCCCGAGATCGTGTGGTAATGCACGAAGTTGACGATAGAGTAAAGTTGGTAGTAAAATCGCTGCACGAAGTAAACTGTGACAAATATTTTAATTGTAGCCGTGCACGGAACCATCTCCAAACTCTGTACTACACAGTTTACGACACAAAATTACCTTCAAAAGAGTCTAAAAATGAACGTCCGACTGTTTCCAAATAAAAAAAAGAACTAGTCACCAGAAGCGTGCAGGTCGAGCAAATATAAACATCGCTTCCTGTCGTCACAAATCCACCAACCAGGAACCAGCCATGCTTGGCTCATCGCTCTTCCCCTTCCATGTCTGCATCGATCACGACTGCCCCGTTTGCGTATCCCCTTCCTTCACCCGGACCTCCTCCCTCCTCTGCCCATTCTCCGATGATCGCCTACCGCCCTACGTCCCCCCGGCTGGCGCACCCCAGCTCCAGGCTCTTCCTCCTTGCGTTCCTTCGTTCCCTATCGGCCCCTCCCCCCCTTCCTCTCCATGCTCATCCGCGAGCTACTGCTCTTCCTCAAGCCCTGCCCCTCTCTTCGACTGCCTTCCGAAAAAACGTGGGGCTCCTACGCCAGAGCCGTGGAGCGATGAGAGGAAGGAGAAGCACCGGCAGTCATGCGCGAGCAAGACGAGGCTCAGCGTCTCGGAGAAGCTGGACATCATATCAAGCTTCTATGGAACGGGATCAGGGAGCCAGCCGATGAAGCAGTCAAGCATTGCCAAGAAGTACGGGAAGAGCCGGGCAGCCATCAGCAAGATGCTGAAGCCGGACCAAGTGGAATCTCTGATCTCCAGGTTGCTTCAGGGTTGAATATGTCACTTTTCCATCAGTCAAAAATCTTGTTTGACTCATTCACACAAAGCAGAAATGTTTGTTTACCTTCACAATGGATGTATTCGTTGGCCTATCTGTAAAGTTTGCTTCGATAAAGATGATGCCACCGATCGCCATTTTTCGAGCGTCTGAATGACGAGAACCCGCCAGTGCTGTCACATCCCAAATGCGAGTTATACATGCTGTCTACAGCGCGAGTTACACATGTCTACAGCGAATGCACAAGGCATCTCTGCTGTATCGCATAAAAGTGAAGTGCGGTGATGACTAGCTGACGCTGACGATGCTGGTCATGTGGGGTATCGAACATAAGGACAGAGAACAGACCCTTCTAGCTGAAGACGCTGATCCTTATATAGGCTAAGGGGAGGACTAGGGGCAGTGCTCCCTGTTGCTCTCTCGCTTCTCACAAGCTTCTGCTCCTTCTCTTACTATGAATGAGGGGAGCACATCAGGCCGTTGAATGCTCCTAGTCTGTCTGAGAATCCATTGCCTGACTTCGTTGACGATCGAGGCTATGCCTAGCCTGGAGTCCTGTCCCTTATTTTGGGCAGGTCCAGTCCAGGCTGAGTCGAGCTCGCTTTGCCAGCGGCTCTGGTTATTTCATAAGTCCAAGCTAATCGCACGATTCTCGAAAATTTCATTTTAATCACAGACCGACCGACGTTCAAGCTAGGCTTGGAAACGAGTGTAGAATACAGCGGACCTTCAATGTAGATAGTGCCCCCACTATCCGATCCTGCACACGTAACAAGCTTGTCATCAATCGGGACCTTTTGCAACAAGGCAAGCATGCAATTGAATACAGGAATATGAATGTCAAAGTCAAGCCTCCTTGCTTCCTTGGATTCCAATTGACAGCCCCACGAACATTGAGCCACCCTTTACCGTGTTTCTGATCATCCAAGTATGAGTGCAGCATAGTAGCTGTCAGATGAAAATTTTGAAAGTAACCGATTCGGAGTCGCTTGTCCCTGTTCACATTTTCAAAACAGCCATCCTCACACGCAAATGTTGTAGAGTACTCTGAAAGGAACTTAGGACAGAAAAAGCAAGGAAATGTAACTTTGAATATTCCAACCACATCAGCCAGTAAAAGAATATCAGTGTAGATGCTCTGAAATCAATCGTTGGTTTGAGATATCTCCGATACCTTCAATTGTCGGCCTGGGAAATGTTTCCAAACAATTCCGTCAAAGTCTCTTTGCTTCAAAGCACATACACTTCAAGCATTTTAACTGAAGTGACTTCCTTGATCAATCCGCATCTTCGCTTTTATGCAGATCGGAAAAGGAACCCAACATAAGTGCAATCAAATCAAACCCAGCATTCAAGACATCGGAAGCCTCAAGTGATGCACAGCGTAGGGGGATTTGCGCTCCAGATTCACCAGCAGCTTTGTTTTCAAGCATCAGCAGCTGCATTGCGTCATGCATTCCAGCGCCGGAGTCCGAGTACTGAGACGGTCAGGCACTTGACCATTTTTGAGTTCTCTACTAGCTTTTTAACTTAACTTTTCCTGCTCAAGTCGCACCTCCTCGTACTGTTTTTACCTTAAATTTGAGTAAAGACGAGGAATCATCACGCTCCGAGCCTGAGGCTCGGGGCCCGGCGCCGGGAGCCGCCGGTCGGGCGGCGGGACTCGGCCAGGAAGTTGAGCAGACGGATTGACCGGTTGAGTAATAAATAATCCAGTTCAGAACTGCTGCTACATGTCCGATTGATGCGGCATGCGGACTTGCTGCTGCTCTTGCTGCTGATTGATGGCAACGGAAGGCATGGTGGCATGCACGATGATCCCTCCTCTCTCCATGCGATTGCGTCTCTGAGCAGTCGGTGCCTGCGGCTTTGCGGAGGAGCGATAGAGGTCGAGCTTGGGCAAAAAGCAAAAGGGACTGAAAGCCTTCAAGAACTTCTGTTGAGGATAGATTACGTGAAGGAGCAGGTAAAGGGGCTAGTGAAAGCTCTGCTCTCAGTGTCTGCAAGACAGTGAATGATGCGCTTGACCTGGTAGATGCTCAAGACCATCGAAGAGTTGGGTTCATTTCCCGTAGAGAACGTCTCAGAGGTCGTCAGCGATAGACTACGTGGGTACAGGATCCTGTTGTTGCTGACACGAATGTGGAAAGACTTCCAGGATAATGGAAGAAAACGAACATGGCATGGAAGTCAATTTGAGGTGAAGGAATGCTACAGTGGTGTAGGCAATGAGTGATGTCGAGTTTAGACATCGCTCTCAAACATGTGCACATCCCGAAGGCTGCCTGGAATCACCTGACAAGGGGTTTGCTTACACTCATCGGACGCTTTGAATTGACTTGAGGTGTCTCAAGCTCGCTCCTCTGCAAGCTGCACTCTGCTCTGTCCGAACCTTCGCACGAAAACAGCATGCTCAGTAATAGGGGTGTTGTATAGCCAGGCTCTTACGATTATTAGAAGGAAAATGTATTCATCCTGCATGCAACAGAACAGCTTCATATGGGTTGAGCTCAAAGCTAGGAGGTGGGGAGATAGTTAGTTTCGCGCCTGAGCTGACTGGCTGCCGCAAAAGGAGCAACAGGGTTACGACTGCACTGCTCTGCTCATCGCGAAGCCCTTGAGGTCACCTTTGAAGATGATTGATCGATTTGATTGTTCCGGCAGTCCGACTTGAAATCAAAGCAAACTTGTTCGTTCCAGGATTGTGTCAAAAGAGCGATGTGGAAGAAGCCTGGAGACCTGGAGCCCTCAGCTTGCAAAGAGCACAAAGAAAAGGACTTCATTCATGTCCCTCCTAATCGATGCTGTCAGCAGACAGGTAACCTGGAAGCACCGCTGACCCGTAAGAATGATGTTTTCAAAGCATGTGATAAGGTTGCAAGATTCGGCTACAGGGATGATCGGGTCAGACGATTCTGTAAACTGCATGCCAGCAGATCTCAGGATGACCTGGCGCGCGTTATGTGCAAGCATGCTGGCTGTAAGAAGCAAGCGTCATTCGGGTAACATGGCAAGGTGGTATCGATCAATATTCTGAATGATTCTCGTACAGCCTTCATTATCGAGCAACAGCCGAGTACTGTATGTCTCACAAGCCAGGTGAGATTCCTTGTTGCCGCTCTCATCAAGGTCTGAACAGCATCAAGCCAACTTTTCCAATGTCAGGAAGAGAAACAATCATTCGGAGACTCCTTCTCCAGCTCCAACGCACAAGCCACACGTCGAAATGCAGGCCCAGCCCACTGAGAATGTCAGAGAGTTTTGTTGTTAATATAGTTGCACTGTTTCACTCATCCAGTGGGCGGTCATCCAGCGTGTCCGCCCCCAACCCCGGCTCAGCGGCCCGGTGGCACTGCATACTATCATGATGATATCCGGCCGCCGCCGCGACCAAGGCCCCTGGAAGTGATCCCGGCGCCACCAAACTGAGTGGGGATGAGGGTTAGAGTTTTAATAGAATAGTTGCTGTCGTTGTCTGGCTGGGATGGGAGGAGTGAAAGAAGGAAACAAGATGAAGAGAAGAAGAAGCGTCAGATGAGAAGAAGAGAGCGAGCGATGAAAGACCATGATGATAATGAGCATCTTGACAAATACGACCATAACGATAGTCCTAGTGACGACGCGACAACAAATTTGTCGCCTCATGCATCCATACTTTCATCGATAGGCAGCGACGATGTTTCTCTGCGTTCTGAAGCAAACATCACCATTGTAAGCGAAAATCAAGATCACCCTCATGATCTTCCTCAACATGTCACAAATGGCAGCGTTGAAGGCGATTCAGGCCGACAGCTCAACTCGGAAGCTGCCAGTGATCGCACAGCTACGGGGGACTGGAGGAGGAAGCACCGGGCAGACCTTGAGAGGCACCTGGAGGAGTTTCAAGGAAGAATCGCCAAGCTAAAAGCTCTGCGTGAGAGAATGTCTGTCCTCAAGCCTCTCACTCTGACATCGCAGACTGAGAGCCAGAGAGAGGCGCAAAGCTCTCAGTCAGAAGAGCCAAGCACGCATCAACATGTTGTTTTGCACAATGAAACAGAGATGGAAACTAATCGAAAAAATAATGAAACAGACATGGAAACTAGTAGAGAAAACAATGGAACAGACATGGAAACAAGTAGAGAAAACAATGGAACAGATATGGAAACAAGTAGAGAAAACAATGGAACGGACATGGGAAAGAGTGTGGACCAAGTTCGGTTGCAGAGAATTCGAGAGATTGTGAAGACTGAGATATTGAAGTACAGCGGAGTGAATCTAGATGACTTCCATGACGAACGTCATAGTACAAGGGACGACAAGAGTACAGCTCGAATGAATGCTGACAGACAGAAAGTAAACAAGTTGCAGAATGCTCCGACGAGGCTAGAAGATGCTTGTGAACGTACCATCCCGTACTTCTTCGGGGGTTTCTCACGGAAAAGCCCTGTAAGGATGAAATGCTTTGAGATCTATTACTCGTTCCGATGGAATGGCTTTTTCACTCTGGTCACAATTATCAACAGCGTATCAATCATCATTCAAGCTGAGATCAACTCTGCCTCGAAGTTGAACACTTCCTTGTCTGCTCTCGATAATTTCTGCCTGGCTGTCTTGGGTATGGAAGTTTTTGTCGGTGTTGTGGCTATGGGGCTGGTACAGAACAAGCATTCATGGCTGCGACTGTCAGCGTTGAATTGCCTTGAGTTTGTGATCTTCTTCAGCACCATCGTTCTAATGTCTCTGGGAGGAGGGGATGCTGGGATCGTGTTGCCTTTCCGTCTGATACGTCTCCTCAAAGTTCTCTCGCGCTTCAAGACGTTTGATGAGATCAACCTCATCATTCTCACTATCACTGAGGGCTCCGTTCAACTAGCCAGCGTCTTCTTCATGCTTCTTTTCTTCATGCTCGCCTTCTGTATATTCTTAATGGCGATGCTTCGAAACTCTTTCCGACGTTACTGCGTTGTGTTCAGACAGACGTTTCCTGTCTGTGCATCGGGGATTGCTGAGAGCTGGAGTCCGACTTGTAACTTTTCTGAGCACGGGCAGGCGATACAGGAGGTGGACTATAGCAATGCGCCCGTGCTGATAGAAGGAGGATACCCGTATTTGACCTGGTGCAAGATCTACTACAACGTCACTCCTGGTCAGTACGACACGGTCTACCCCCTTGATCACCAGGGACGGTACCATGACTGCGGGCTCAACGACTTTGAGAGCGGTCGGCCTGTCAACCAGTACTGCAAGGTACTGGAGAACCCCAGCTATGGTTTCTCTCACTATGACAACATAGCCGGGGCCCTGATGAACCTGTTTCAGTCCACATGCCCTGACAGCTACTATGACGTCATCTGGAGATCCCTGGAGAGCGAGCCCGAGCTTCAACCGATCCTGCTCCTCTGCTACTTCCTCATCTCGTGCTTGTGTACGTTCTTGATGCTCGGAATTTTTGTCGCAGTGGTGACGGGGACATTCTCGAACTTGAAGGAGCGGAGCAAGGACATCCTCAAGGAGGAGGAGCTTGAAGCGGCTGAGGCAGAGAGGAGCTCTCAGAGCTCCAAGGTTCACCCGGAACCTGTCACCTGGGATCATCTCGACCACGAGGACGACCTGGAGAAGGCGGTGCAGCACATCGCCAAGAGCATCTGCGAGAGCGACAGCTTCAAGACCTTCCAGTCCTGCCTCATCCTCTATCACGCCGTCGCCATGGCCATCAACCAGAGAGATTCTCCCGAGGCATTCAAAACTTTCGCAACCTTGTCCTACTGGATTGTCAACTCCATATTCCTCCTCCTTCTCTTGCTAAAGTACTTCTCGCATGGTTCCTTCGGTGACTTCTGGGACAACGGCGGCAACAAGTTTGAGATGCTCTTGATAGCATGCGGTCTGATCGGGTCCATCATCTCCAGTCCCTTCTTCATCCGACTGCCCTCTGTGCGCCTCTACTACCTCATGGATTATTTTCCCACCTTGCAATATCTCTTGTATTCAGCTCTTAGCAGCATCCGTGCGGTGTGGAACCTTACAGCCTTCATCTTCGTGCTCATCCTCTCTTTTGCGGTTGCTGGCCGTTACATCTTCAAGGAGAAGATGGATCCTATCACGCGATCCAACTTCGGCTCGCTACCTATCGCTCTGTTGACCACGTTTCAACTCGTGATAGGTGACTCGTGGAGCGGAGTGGTATACAGCGGGTTGGACGCTATGGATGGCACGTTTGCGCAATTGGGAGCAGCGATTTACCTGATAGGCTGGTTCACCTTTGCCTCTCTTATCATCTCAAACTTGTTTGTCGCTACCATCATTGAGAACTTCAAGATTCACGACACTGTTGCCAAGATTGCGCAGCCTGGGAGGTTGTACTTTGCGAGGAAGATGATAAGAGACGCATATCGCAACCTTTGGCTGCTCTCACGTCAATCGCAAATGTTGAAAGAGATGTCACAAGTACCACGTCGAAGCAGCGCTCTCTCAGACCATCCGCAGTCGTTCTCACAAGAGGTTCTGCATCATATCTCCGGATCAAAGCACAAGCGCGTTGTCCTGACATCCAAGTTTGTTCAAGTAGCACAAAATTCTCTGATTCGCTTCTCCTACAACATCGACGAGACCAAGAAGAAGGAAGAAGAAAGAACCCTCATGTTCTTCAACAAAGACAACAGCATCCGAAGGTTTGCGACATGGCTGGCCAGACAAGCTTGGTTCGACTTGATCGTCTACAACTCTATATTTCTCAGTTGTGTCCTCTTGACCCTCACACCTCCAGCTCCTGACATCCACCTCATCACCGATTTTCCGAACGTCATCTCAGCCTCCGTGTCCCGTGCCCTCACCTGGTTTCTCAACATTATCTTCACTCTGGAGTTCTCAGTTCGCGCGATGGAGCACGGGCTGGTGTTCACCAAGAAGGCCTACTTCAAAGACGGCTGGAACCTGCTCGACTTCCTGGTGCTCTCCCTCAGCTGGATAGATGAGACCGGCTGGTTTCAGAAAGGCAACACCGGCAAGGTCATCCGCCTTGCTAGAGCCCTGAGGCCGCTGAGGCTGATGAAGAGGAACGAGGGGCTCAGGCTGGTGATAGATGCTCTCCTCCGAACCCTGACTCCTGTGCTCTACGTCATCATCTTCACCATCTTCACCTTCATGGTGTTCGGCCTCATAGGCATGGGTCTCTTCGGCGGCAAGTTCAAGTCCTGCAGCGACCCGTCAGTCGCCTTTCCTCAAGGCAAGGCAGACTGCCTCGGCTGGTTCCTCATCGATAACGGGGTTGCGGTCCCCTCCTCCTGGCGGAACCCTCGTTTCGACTTCGACACTTTTGGCAACTCGGTGCAGACTCTGTTCCAGGTGATGACATTCAAGTACGTCAACGTGATCTACCAGGCCATGGACGTGACAGACGTCGACCAGAGCCCTCAGGTGAACTACAGCGTGTACAACGGCTTGTTCTTCGTCGTCTACCTCATCATCGGCGGGTTGTTTGTGAGTGTATTGAGCTGACTCTTGCTTTTACTGATTCTCCTTCAGGTGATGAACCTGTTTGTCGGTTTTATCATCGACGGCTTCAACGCCAACAAGGGGTCTTCTGAGAAGGACATCATCTTCTCAAGGTTCAACCGTCAGCTCTACATGTACAAGCCCAAGTACTTCAAGTTCCGCCTGCCTCAGAATGGCGTCAGCGTGCAAGCAAGGAAGCTGCTAGAGCACAGATACTTTGACGTCACTTCTTCTCTCTGCGTGCTGATCAACGTGACGTTCATGCTCGTCGATCATGCCGGGGCCTCACAGAGTTTCGAGAACATGATCAACTCACAGAACAACTTCTTCTACGCCGTCCTCTTGCTAGAAGTCTGCATCAACCTCGTTGGGTTTGGCCCTGGGGCCTTCCTGAATGACAACTGGAAGACTTTCGACCTCATCATTGCGCTCGGGTCTTCTGCCGGGTACATGGCACAGAACGACAAGGTCTCTCAGTTCTCTAAGTCTTTTCGGTTGTTCCGAATCTTCAAGCTGATGAAGATGATCACTCCTATCCGTATCATCCTTGAGACCCTGGTCTCCTGTCTCCCCCAGCTTGCAAACATCGTCCTCCTCCTGGTCCTCGTCTACTCCATCTTCGCTGTCAGCTTCGTCCAGATGTTCGGCACCACAAGGAACGGCGTTCGGCTCGGCCCCACCGCCAGTTTCTTCTCATACGAGAGCTCTCTTATGACCATCTTGCAGATCGTGACGGGGGACGAGTGGCAGGAGCTGGTGAAGGACTGCGGGATACAACCTCCCTACTGCACCCCCGTCTTCGATGACTCAGTCTACGGGTGGAGGGAGTGGAAGGACTTCAACTTGTCCTTCGGGGACTGCGGGCAGAGCTACTCGTTCATCGTGTTCGTGGTGATGAAGCTCGTGTGCGAGAAGGTGATGCTCAATCTCTTCATCGGCATGATCCTCGACAACTTCGGTTTCTTCACCGAAGAGGTCGGAGACTCCCAGGACGGCGACTGGTCGACGGGCCCGACCACGGAGCAGACGCAGCTGATCTCGCAGATCTTCTCCTTGTTCGACAGGCAGACAGGTCGAGCTCCTATCTCAGTCCTCAACCGCATGATGTGCGTGCTGCCCTACCCGTTCGGGTACCGAGGGAAGGACGGGGAGCTGGTGAGGAACGAGGACGACGACGCCATTGAGCTCCTGATCCGCTCCGAGCTCAACGTCCTCGTGAGGCTGCAGCGGGACATGAGCATACTGGAGAAGACGGAGAGCTGGAAGCGGTTCGTGCCCTTGTTCCTGCTGTCGGAGGATGTGAGCGAGACGATTAAGTTCGAGGACTACATGCGGACCATCTTCTTGTGGCGCAAGCACGACCTGATCCCTGACATGGTGCGGGTGATGAGAAATCAGCGGGTGGACGAAGTTATCTTCATCTCCTACGTCATCCTCATTGTCGACTTGCTCAAGAGAGCCGTCGGAGACAGGAAGCGGCAGCGGGACCTTCACACGATCCAGCAGCTCAGATCCTTTAGGCAGTGGGAGCGAGGAGACCAGGTTCAGACCATCCGCAACGCGCTAGTGAGGGACATGGTGAAGCAGGAGAAGGATGCGGCAAAGAAGCACTCCAAGCCCCTCATCCTTCTCCACGTCCCTGCCAGCTCTCGAGTCAAGATCGAGCTCCAGCCCTTCGACGCCGAGCACTACGAAGTCTACGAGCACGCGGAGAGGATACAGGACCCCTCCCAGGAGCTCGAGACGTTCCTTCACATGATCACCCGCTACAGAGCCATCCTCCAGTTCCTGGACCCCATCCACTCCGTGTACGGTGTCGTTGCAGCTGATCTGTCTGGCTGCACCTGGAAGGGCTGGGTAAGATCATCATCATCATCATCAGCTACCAGCGCCATCACCACACACTCACATCAAGATTTGATCGTCTCCTCGCCCTGCCCCATTCTCCTCCTCCTCCTCCTCATCATCATCATCACCACCACCACCACCACCACCACCACCATTGTCATCATGAGATAATCTGTACCGACATCCTCCTTCTTGTCGTTATGCTGAGTTTGACCTGCAGAGGCGGCGGGAAGGACGGGACGGGACTCTCTTTCATCCGAGCTCCTTCGAGAGGAGCGAGTACGACAAAGACTGGGAGAGCATCTCCATGGCCTACAACGTGGAGGCCACACTCACCTCACGGCCGACTTACCTGATCCTCGGGGAAGTTACTGATCTCCTCTGCTCTCTGCGGCAGCCTGGTCGCCTCCTCCTCAACCTGGGGCTCTCTCGCTACGAGTTCCTCTACCGCAACCTCGTGGCTGACTCGGGGCGAGCAGCGCACGCGGAGGGGTCGACGGCAAGGAGCGTCATGCAAGTGATCGGGTACGCGCCGCTCGAGCTCAAGTTCAAGGATGCAGAACATTTGGCGCGCAAAAAGGTGCTGGTGAACCAAGATGTGGAGGTAGATGCGATCTGAGACGACAGATGTATGGAAACACGAGGTTAGCTACAGTTATGAAATGCGATCTAAGACGACAGATGTATGGAAACACGAGGTTAGCTACAGTTATGAAATGCGATCTAAGACGACAGATGTATGGAAACACGAGGTTAGCTACAGTTATGAGAGGTCGATCAGGTCGAACGAAACCAGAGGGTTGGAGTCTTGTGCCTTGGACTTGCTCTTGGAGCTCTTGGGTGGAACCTCCTCATCGCTCTCCTGCTTCTTGGACGACTTCTTGGACTTCTTCTTCTTCTCTTTGGAGGTCTTCTTCTTTGGGGCCTCGTCTTCGCTCTCGCTGGAGTCTTCCACCACCTTCTTGCTCTTCGACTTGGAACTTGCCTTGCTGTCCTCCTCATCGCTGTCCAGCCATCGATCAAGGTCGGCATGGTCGAGCTCCCCGATCCCGAGGCTCTTGCTCGTGCTGTTTCCTCGGATCTCTCCGAACCCTCCGCATCTGGCGGATCCGTCGGAGCCGAACCCCTCCAGGCGCCCGTTGCCAGACCCCTGTTGCATGCTGCCCATCGAGGCGGCGCTCGATTTCTTGCTCTGCTCCAGCCGCCTGCGAGCTTCTTGATCGATCCACGAGCCCGAGGAGGAGGAGAAATTGTTTCCCGAGAGGCCCATGCGGTCTTTGGCGGAGGAGAGCCATCCTCCCGCGTTCTCCTTGAGGTAGGACGCAGCAGACACCATGACGGACCCAGCCTTGCCGGCCACCTCAGGCAAGACCTCAGCTGCCTTGTCCTTGACAATAGTCGCTGTTTCTTTAGTAAAGAACCCTTTGTGCAGGATTGCGTGAGTCAGAGGGTTGTCGCCCTTGTACCCATCCAGCACGTTGCTGTAGTCCCTCTTGCTTCTCTCCACCTGCGCGTCATCCCCGAAGAAGTCGGAGGAGGAGATCCCCGACTTGCCCGAGAACTGCTCCATGTACTCCTGCTTCTCCCGCTCCTTCCTCGCCTTCTCCTCCATCGCCTCTCGACGCAATCGAGCCATGGTGCTCTCCTTCAGCGCCGGGTTCACGTTGGAGTCTGCATCCCCGCTCGCCTGTTTCGTCTTGTGCTTCTCCGCCTTCTCTTTCTTCGCCTTGCGCCTGTAATGCCGTCAGCGGCGGGCGTTGCTCCTGCTGTCCTCACCTTCTCGCCTTCTCCTTCTCCTCCTCGTCCTCTGACGAGTCGCTCTCACTGTCCACTACCTCCCTCTTGACGGGGGGGTTGACGCTGGCAGTCCCGCAGATCATCTCGAGCTTGGCAATGGCCTCACGCTCCCTCTCCCTGTCCTTCTCCTCCTTCCTCTTCTGGATCCGTTGGTCCAGCGACTCTCGATCAAGAGCAACTTCCTCGCTCGATTTCGAAGAGGAAGAACGAGACTTAGTCTTATCTTGCTTCTTCTTGGCCTTAGCAACATGTCAGACTTCAACTCTAGTCATCCCAGCACTCACCTTGTCCGATGATTGCGACGGCGCGCTCTCAGATTGAAGAAAGTCATCCAGCTGGATCATCAAAGTCACAGCGCGAAGCTTCAGAATCTCTCTTTACCTCCTCCTTCGATTCCGCCACGTCCCAATCAATCAGGTTAGTGCTGACTGTGCTCCGTTTCGCCGCCTTCTTCGCCTGATCTTTCTTCTTGGACGCGACCGTCACTGTGACCGTGAGCTCGCTCCCGGAATCTGAAGTCTCCTCCTCGGACTCCTCCTCGCTCTCACTCGTTTCCACCTTCTTCGACCTCCTCGGGCGCTTTTCCAGCTTGTCCACGGCTTTCTTCAGCTGATCCCTCCACTTCTGAGCTGCTTTACTGGACCAGCGCTGGGCCAGGGGGAGGTCGTAACTGTCGTTCTCCTTGAGAAACGCCTTGCAGGCCTTGTTTCCTCCCGCCTTCATGAACGCCAACTGTCGATCATCCCACTTGTCCATTGTGACACTCCGGACGAAGCTGAGATGCACTCCGAGCCCGCGGTGCTTCCCCGAGCAGTCGATACAGAAGAACACTCCAAGATTCACCGAAGCCCTGTTTGTAGGATGAGAAGGGGAGAGCACAAGGAGAAAGAGCAAGTCAGAGGAAAAGAGAGATGAGCGGAGAAGTAGGTGAGGATGGTGGTGGTGATGCTTGAGGAAGTGGAGAGGTACTGGGGCAGGAGGAGGAGGAGGAGGAGGAGGAGGAGGAGAGCAGCAGTAGCAGCAGCAGCAGCAGCAGCAGAAAGTTGCGGTGGCGGAGGTTGGAAAAGAAAAAGAAGAAAAGGCGGAGAAGGTCGGGAGAGGATTCATTGAGATCTCACCAATCCACGGAAAGTTTGCTTCCACAATCAATACACCTTTGGTTGGCCTTCTCGCTCATGAGGCTGCAAGAGCAGATCGAGTCAAGCCGATGGGCATCCAAGGTCATCACTCACTCAGAGAGAATCTTCTTGGCTTCTGGTGTACATGAAGACATTCTTGGCTGTATCCTCGGGCGGCCTGCTATAGCGGTCAAGTGTCGTTGGCACAGGACAAACTCTATTGCGTGTTAAGGTGCATCATTACAATCTACATCGATCGGCTACACTGCAACATCAAACCTTTCATTCTGTCCACTATCATCCTAAGATGTTGCAGGAGTCATGTTTGACTTGAGTTACAACAAGCCTGATCCCAATCAGAATGCGCCTGGGTCCCTCGACATACCCCAGTACGGACCATGCTTATTCGCTACTATCATACAGCAACAAGTTTCATCCAAACCAGATGTCAAACTCAACAACTATCATCCATTTGATACTTCTGACATCTCTATTGGCGATTTTCCCTCCCTGATCTAATTTCTTGTGCACCCTTAATTTTTCATAGGGAGAACTATCAGTTCCATCTTAATGCTTCATCTTTCCTGACTCGTGATTCTCACTGTCCTCCGACTCTCCTCCGACTCTCCTCTCCATCTCCCCTCTCTTTCTCATATCCTCCTTCGCTCCTTCCGTTCCTCGGTTCCCTGAGCATTCATCAACATGCCATGACGCCGCAGGGGGAGGAGTTCTCATGTATTCTCAAGGGGTGGGGGTGCAAAGGATATTAACAAGGGTAGGGTCCTTGAGATTCAAAGGGAAAAAAGGACAACTAGGGTCATATACCCCACCTATCTCAATGGACCAAGAATATATATGTTACAGGGGTGATCAAAGCTTCACCAGGGGTTAATAAAACACATTTCCAGTTGACTACCTTCGAATCTTTGTTAAATAGGGGTGGGTAGTGCCTAAAGAGAACCTTGGCGTTTCCTTTCATCAAAAGCCAACCCACCCCACCCTCAACAACCGTCAAAAAATACACCACCCCTCAATTTCTATGTTTATCACCCCTACTCTCTATTGATTAATACCCACCCACAATCCTTGATCCACCCTCTTTTCAACCCCCACCCCCATTCTATCCTATCTATTTGCGGAGGAGGTGTGAGGGCAGCAATGATATCATAATGCAAAATACCTATAAAAATATCTCTGTCTTTTTGATGGTTCTCAAAACCGTTACAGCCAGGTTACAGCACAATTTGCGAGCAACCAGCAGTAGTGGAAAGTGCCATGGCAGGGCGCATCGCACCAGCGCTGCTTGTGGTCCTCCTGGACCTGCTGCTGGATAAGTCAGCTGGGACAGATGGGTCGATGATCAACTTGCAGTGGCATGCTGAGCCATACCACAGCCTTCTACAGCTCAGGTCAGCTTCTAGGATCGGCATGCGGGCAAAGCCTGACTCCGATTGCAGGAGGCTGCGATTGCGAGGAGGGGAGGAGATGAAGCTATCCAAGAAGATGGAAGTCTTGTGGGACAGGGCCAACACAGCTAGAATGGTAACGGCATTGTTTGTTATGAGCATGTTTCACGGTGTCTGCATCAGATGCAGGAGAAAATGCATGAACACAGCGATGTTGTAAGTATCTCTTGGCTCATGTCAGTTCTAACTACTCATGTCAGGATAACAAGGATCTGAGCAGACTGGTAGAAGAGATCAGAGAGCAACTCAACACTGATGTACACGATCTTTCCTTTTCTCGATCTTCTTTCTGACAAGATGGTTCTGTTTGTAGTCCGCCTTACTGCGACATGAAGTGAGAGCTTGGAAGTTACAGCAGGAGTGCTTTGATTGTGCCGATATGCAGGTATGTTACGCACTCGGGCAAACAAGATCGGCAGAAGCAGGTGAGGTGGAGGATTGAGAACAACCAGCTCGCGTTATGCCCTTTCCCTCTGAGTACATGTGTTTCAGTACCAATCTTACGGGAAATCCTTCAAGATCGATCCGAGGAAGCGATAGTGAGGCATGAAGCTGCTGAGGTGCGATGAATTGGCTGCTGTTGTATCATATCATCAAAGGTCTCTTTTTGAAGGCTCTCTCTGCGATTGGTGATGAAGAATGTGTGCCCTTGCTCGTGCAAATGACTCTTGATCCCTGCCAAGAAGGTGTTTGCAATGGCCGATGACAGTTTGCACTGACATGCATTTTTCAAAGTTGCTGATACCTGCATCATTGCTATTGACAGAATGATGTGGAAGAAAGAGGAGGTATGAAATTGCTCTCATTCATTGCATGTTGACAGCAAGCCGTAACATCTGCAATTTTTAGGGCGGCGAAGATTTGCTGCAAAATGTGTTGTTGTCTCTTGCTGCTTTCATTGCTGCTTTCAGCTGCGATTGACTCAAATTCTCACAGAGTGAATTTGTCTCAGTTGACCCCGCGCCAGCATTTGGGAAATCGGACAACAAGCCTGAGGGCCAAAAGAGCTGGATCTCCCAAGTTTTTCTCGACCAGAAGCGGAGCTTGTTCGATAGATATAGGGTACATGAATTGACGTCTCCCTCGATCATATGATCTTTCTCTCCTATAGGCCCTCTTCTCACTCCGAAACTTGGGTGGCCCGGAATGTGTCAAAGGTGGTTTTGCCATCTGCCTTCTGGGTCAAAAGATACATCGTGATCTTTTGACAGTGATCTGTGAGGGGGTGAAAGACCCAAACGCCTTGTTTCGACACGAAGTGATTGTTGCTGCTTGTCAAGACTCGATGCAACTCAATGAAGACAGGTTGCTTTTGTTCTTGGACAAATATCGGACCCTGAGGCCCTCCCTGCTCTTCAATCCCTTCTGGAAAACAGCACCGAGAACTCCATGGTGTAGTCAAAACCCTCTCCCCGACAAATTCGACGTTGAGATGATGTCGATATTTCATTAACAGGTTCGGCATGAAGCTGCTGAGGCTATCGGGGGTATGGGGCTAGTGGAATGCAGGTACAGCACGTCTGGTGCTCCTTTTGCGACTCCGAATGTAATTGCATTCCTGGTATCACAGAGAACTTCTTGAAAGGTACCTTCACGACAAGGACCCGGTGGTTTCACAGAGCTGTGAGGTAAATGGCAAAGCTTGCCAGCTTCTGGACTCGATGTGATAACTTGATGTGAAGGTTGCGTTGGATATGACATCTTACTGGAAAGAATTCAAGGAGGCAAGAGTATGATTCATTTACGAGGGCAAGTTGAGTTTAGGCATCCCACCCTCGATGTACACAAAAATTTTCTTCAAAGTTTCAAGAAACTCAATCGTGTGTGCGAAACAAGACATTCTTGGCACCATGTTTTGCCCATATTGCAATCGCGTCATCATGAAACCGCGGATTCCTCGGTGAGATTGACTAAAAAGGAACTGTCGCCCCAGCTACTTGTACCCTCTATCCAAAGCAGGAGGTCTGTGAAAGAAGTGCACGTAATAGGTTCTGAATCCTTGTTTGTGGCTCGCACGGTTGACACGCGCGTCTTCAAGTGCTGCACTTGCTTCACGCGGACATTCTTGTCAGAGAGTCGGGTTATATTCGAGATAATCTGGTTCGACTAGCGACGCAAGATGGTTCTCGATGATTATGACCACTAGCTCCATCTTTGATCTCGGAGCACAGACGCGGAAAGATGGAGCAGCATGCTGGTCATCTACGACGTTCTATCTCCTAACGACTTTGTTCGTGCAGGGTCCGCGCGCCCTCCCGGGGTCAAGACTGCCATAGTCGAGTCGCTACTTTTCGGAAATGGTGATATCGCAACGTTTCGGTCGCACGACAACATCGACCGGCGCTGCTTGTCGTCGTGCAAAAGGAAATCTCTCTGTATGCCTACACCGGACAGTCCGCTACCACCCCTCCCAGGACCCACCCCCTCCTTGCCCCGGTCAAAACGTGTAATCGTGAGGCTCCCAGGTTTCAACCCTGTAAGATCTAGGGGTCACTCCGGTACCAGAAAGATGATGAAGGGGTGGGTGGGGGTACTCTGTAAGATCTAGGGGTCACTCCGGTACCAGAAAGATTTCTGGTACTCTGTAAGATCTAGGGGTCACTCCGGTACCAGAAAGATCTTTCCCGCTACAACACCCCTCCACATCATTCAGCACCCTTGATCGCCTACCCCATGGTGCATACCCTTGATGAGTCGTCGCAAAAACTCCTCCCAGTCATCAGCTGCAGGCACCCCCGGTGACGTTAGGCCCTCTGCCAGCGCCTGTCTTCTCGTATCGCGTTATCTTCAGACTCTCCGGCCCCGCAACCTTGATCGCTGGATAGACGGCGGCCAATGTGAGGGTTGATGCCCTCCCAATCGGGGGGTAGGGGTGGGTAGAGATACAATCGAGTACCCCGCCACTTCAAAAGTGTCCACCCCTGCTGTTCTGTCTAAGTTACCGTAAAGAGTCGGTGGGTACTTAGACCCATCGATATTTTTAGATCACTTTTGGTTGAGGGGTATCGAGTTCTAACTGCGTCGATGTTTTTTTCATCCCGTCTCCGCCCCTTGTTGACGTATCAGTCAGCATAGCACCGACACCCTACCGATGTCTGGTCAATGGGGGGTAAAGGGGGTGTGTCAGCTTTACATAATAAGAACATAAGAGGGTTAGGATATCGAATTTGCACCTTTTCATTGCATGCAACATTTTTTTTAATCATGATCCTACCGAGCAAAATAATTAGTCATCCTTTCAATTTTTGAGGGAAGAAAGAAAGCGGAGTTCCGGTGTATAAGGTGCAAACCCATACATCGGGGGGTCCTCCAATAAGGTTTTTCCCTGGGTATTGGTGGGGTCTCTTTTGGTGAATAGGGAGGGTGTATCGAAAGGGCTCTGAACATCAGTGGGTAGGGGTGGAGTTGGTCATCAGGGTAGCATGACTGCTGATCTAGGTAACTGGCTTCTTTGGATGAAACGAACTGAAAGTCAAACGTATCGGAAAGGTCACGAGGTGATTTCATGGCTGTCCTTTTTTCATAGTGATCAACAACCACCCTTATCACCCCCTGTTCTGACTCAATATTGTTTACTGGGTAGAACCACCCACCCGCACGAGTACAATTCTTTGGCAGAAATGATTTTTAGATAAAACAATGTTAATTTGCCTGCTTTACTACCCCCACCCTATCATGTCAGTACCTTCCAGTACCCCAGAATGGTCCGTGACTGATCGATCCACCTACCTACCCCCTGTATCGTCGACTGCGTATGACCTCTGAAGGCAGTACCCCCACCCACCCACTTTTCAAGATTTTCTGATTCACCCCCCTTTTTACTAGCTACACCACCCATGACAGACCATGGTGAACGAGATCCTCCTCCCACAACCCCTATTTTTTGGACCGAGGTGAGTCACGGTTTCCACAAAATCGCGCCGGTTGGAATAATCATTCTGACCACCCCGACATCAACCCGTCACCACCCTACCTTTTCTGAGGACACTGTATCCACTCCGTCTCCTCCACGAAAGGCCCCACCCACCCCCTTGGTTCTATAAAGTGCCTCGCCTCGTTCGCTGCCAGAGATTTCTTTCCTTCCTGTTTCCCACGGCATCCCTTCGCCCTCCTCCCTCACACCACCAACACGCTCCCTCCTCTCGTGGCCCATTATCATTCCTCTCCTCATCCCAATCTTGGTTTCTTGAAGTCCCTGCTTTCTACTTCCGTGCTCGCTGCTCCAATTTCACACCTTGGGTTCCCATTCGTGCAAGTGTCCGTGGCCATCCCTGAGGAGTTCTAGCGGAGCCTCGAGTCCGAGCTGGAATTCTTCTTGCCTCTAGATTGAAGATCTGTCATCAGAAGCAAACCCTCAAAGGTTCCCTGCCTTGGTTGTTGGTTTGCCCGTTGGGGCCGTCGAAGGCAGGAGGAAATCGTGAAAATCATCAGAATTTGAGATTTATCCTCTCGAGCGAGCCTGACTTGTGAACTAGATCTGTTGTTCTCCATGTCTTTGATCAATCCGCTGACAGCTCAGGAGATCTTGGCATTTCTGAGCGTGCCAGACAGCGATCTCTTGGACCAACCCCTCGGAGCTGTTGACTCCAACATGAACGCGGCACCGGAGAGCGCGCAAGAGCTTTTTAACACAGACCTTTCCACACCAGCGCTGCGATGTGTCACACCGAACCCTCTTGAGCAAGATGCATGGGATGAGATCAGCACAGATCCAGACGAGGCCAACGTCAAGGAGCAGTCTGATGACAGTGACGAGCCGTTCACCAAGGAGGCACATGAAAACCTCACGAGAACGGATGCAAACGCAGCAGTGAAGCACGAGTACGATGCTGAGGATCAATTCCACTCGGCAATGTCTGATACCAAGGAGCCCTGGGTGAGGATCATACCAAGAAGAGGCAACGCTCTGGAGAACAGACCTGTCGTGATCACTTTGGAAGTTCTTTCCAAGCACTTCCACGAAAGTATTGAGATGGCTGCGAAGAAGATTGTAAGTGACTGATGCATATCTTGCACATCAATCTTACTCTTACACAGGGCATCGGCAAGTCAACTATGAAGCATGTTTGTAGAAGATTGGGAGTTGTGAAGTGGCCATACACGCACAAGGGTCAGAGGAGACGGTGTCCGCAACGAGCTTCTTCTTCCAACTCTCAGAGCATGTAGACTTTGATGCTAGACACGTGTGCTATTTAATCTACCCTCTTCATTGTTTTTGTCTTGTATTCGGTCAAGAAGATGTGATTTTAAAACTTTTAATGATTGCATAACTATCTGCCTCGGCAGTGCTGGTGTCTTTAATCTTATTTGGGGTATGAGATTGTCGACCAGAGCGACCTTGGTCGTTTTTTGCATTCTTGACGCTCATATAGACACTTTCTATCTCTATCTTTGCCACGATGTACACTGTGATGTCTGAAGATCTAAAAACCCTCGGACATCTACAAACCGATAGGGTACAGGCAATCTTCTTCATCCTGCTGGCCTCTTCAAAAAGACTCATGGCTCACCAGGTAATGGCAAAGCAAGAGCACAGGGACGGATGAATCTTACTTGTCGTACAGCTGCGTCGTGAATTGGAGGAGGGGGTGACAATTGTTGCTGTGCAGCTGTCGTTACCTGAAACAATCAAAATGTGTCAAGGTACTGTCCTTCTTTTTCGTATGGCTCCAATAAGGGCTTTCGAAGAGGAGGGTCTTGCTCTCATAGCACAGCAGAGGACGCAACAAGGAGAATCGAAAGGCAAGGGAATGACCTTACGAGCGAGTCAGGGTAGCAGGAAGGGGAAAGGAAAGACGGAAGGTTAGGAAACAATGATTCATTCATCGTTACGCTGCCTAGCAGGAGCAACTGATAACAGCTGGATACCAGCAAGACAAGCAGTTGGAGCTGGGATAGACAGTCATGCTAGTGGCTATCAGGGTGGTAGGATGAGCGGGGCCGTCTGGTGAGAGTGACTCTGAAGCGATCTTCGGTGTTGCTGCTGTTGAACCTCCCGAGCGTGAGGGTCACTTGCGTCCCAGGCTTCCCTCGGATGTGTCGGAAGACGTCTTCTATCGAGTGATCGTCTGGAATGAGATGAGAGCCGGCAGGAGGGGAGGGAAGAGCCGGGAGGGGAGAGAAGGAGAGGAGAGAGGAGAGGAGTAGGCCAAGTCACCGTCAACCACGAGGTCGTCAACCAGGTGGATTCTATCGTTGAGCTCAATCTTCCTTGAAAGATCTGCTGGGCCGTCGGGAAAGATTCTGCCGAAGGAGAGCAGGAAGGAGTCAGCGACTGCTGCTCGAGCTAGCAAACGAACCTCAGCACGTAGATGTGCCCTGCTCTGTCAGACCCATCGGGATATCGACCCGCTGATCCTCCCTGGGGATACTTGCCGACTATCATCCCTACCCCGCCCATCTCCTCGGACTGTTGAGGTGCTCAGAAGGAGGAAGAGGAGAAAGAGGAGGAAGAGGAGGAAGAGGAGGAAGACTTACGAGGTGGAAGTTTGCCTTGCACCAGTCGACAAGCATCACAAGACCGACGAAGTGAGTCTGAAGCTCCACCATGTTGGTTCTCAACGTCAGAACCTCCGACTTGAGCGCGTCATGAGCAGACTGCGATCAGGTAAGAATCATGAATTGCATGCAGAGCCAATGACTACCAACTCCATCTTGTACTGCTCTGTTATGACTTTGATCTGTCGTGGCGAACACGTCAAAGACTTATCAGCTCCAGCTATAACGATCATGTACCCGCATCTCTAAAGTCTGAATCTCCTCAATCTTCTTCTTCATGGTAATCGACGAGTCAAACAGCTCGCTGATGCGGAGCTCGAGCAAGGAGATCTGCTCCTTGTACTTCTTGATCATGATAGTCGACTCCTCATTCACAGCCTGGAGCCTGTTTCATGACCATCAACACAACAACTTCTCTTCAGGGATCATACGCATGATTCTCAGTCTCAAACTTCAGCAAGCTTTGTCGAAGGTTCCTGACTTCCTGACTCATCTGTGAATGAGACAGAGAGGTCAATGTCAAGGACTGGCAAGAGAAGCATCTGCCTGCTCCACTTGCTTCCTCAGGTTCGCGTTTTGCTCCTTCCATGCTGAGTCATCGTAACTCGCAATCTCTGACGATCCAAGTTTGACGCGATGAGTCTGATCCTTGTGAGACTGTGCTATTCTCTCGCAGGACATTTGGAGCTTGTAAAAGAGACAAATCGGAATTGGACCATTGAGGATGCAACCTTTACCTTCTCCATGCTAATCTTGATTGAGTTGTACTTCTCGTCCAAGGAGTTTTTCTCGGAGGTCTTTGGCAGCATGAGTGTAGAGAAACAACAGAAACATCTGACAACACCATGTTGCGGAGCTTGATTTCCAATTCGGTTGAGCTTGCCAGAGCGAGATCCCTTTCGTTCTTCAACGCTTCTACGTCTTGCAGCTGAACGCAAGAAACAAGAACCCAAAACCAATCACAGACAGACAGAAAGAATTCAATGTAAAGTTCTTCACCATCTTTTGTTGCTGTTGAGCGAGGAGCTTGTATTTGTGCTTCTCATCATCAATCTGCAGATCTTTTCCATCCAAAAGCACTCGTCATCCACAAGGTCATAGTTGATTTCAAGTCTCACTGAGCTCTCTGATGAGTTTCTTCTGATCATTGCAAGTCTTGTCAAGCTCAGTCTTGATGGCCATACATTCCTCAACTCGTTCTTCTTGCCTTGACCTCTTCTTCTTCTCCTCCTCCCACTTCGCCCGCATCCTCACTGCGCTCTCCATCTCTGCCTCGAGCTGTTCCTCCAAACCCTTCCTTGAAGTCTGCGCTCCCTTCACCTTAGTCAGCAGCTCCTGCCACCACAGCTCAGCCTCCTCGCCAGCGCACAAGTCACCAGCACCTGCTGCTTCTCCTTCTCCTCTTTGAGCTCTTCCCGCGCTCTTAACAGCAGCTCCTCCTTGTCCTCGAGCTCGCGCTCAAGGTCCCGGATCCTCTCCTGGAGAGTCACGGTCTCCTCTGTCTTGCTGTCACCGCAGCCTCATCAGTCCCTGCCCCTTGCCAGGCTTCCCTACCGGTAGCTGTGGGAGGCGGAGGCTACTCGGAGCTGACTCGCGCGGTTTTCCGCATCCTCGAGGTCTTGAATGAGCTCGAGGGCGATGTCGTTGGGGGTGGTCTTGTCTGTGAGGACCGTCTGCTTCAGGTGGTCGCGGGTGCGGAAGTAGATCTTCTCTGATGCATCAACGGCCGATAGCTCGTGGCTGCTCAGCTTCCTGTTGTCTATGTTTCCCCCGTCCCAGCAGACTGCAAGGGCGCATGAGTCAGCGACGTTACTGCAGCAGCAGTTGCCGTCACCTTTGACTCTGTCGCCGTCTATCGAGACGATCGTTCCATGGTTCTGCCGACTTGAGCCAACACTGGTCGAGACTCGTGACCCGATGCTGGGCTCGATGTCAAGCCCGACGATAAGGCGCCTGGCCTTATAGTCAACAGCGCTGCGGCAGCAAACCTGCACTGCATTTCGACGCGGCTCCCTTCCTCTTCCGACATTTGCCACGCCTTCGGTATTATCTCTTTCTCTCGGGAAGTCTAAGTTGTCATTGACATCTGTTACCTAGACAGTTTTTCTACACTGATGATCGTCAGTGCTTCTTTCTACTGCAGTCCCTGGCACTAACTTCACCGGGCAATTAGCCCCTGACAAGACTCCGGGACCTCCCTCCCTCTTCGAGTCCCTCAGCCTCCAGCTTTCGGATGGTTCTGCCCTTCTCCGCGTCTCTCTGTCGCACAGGTTCTGCTCCTCCCCCCTTCCCTCCTCCCTGCCATCAGTTACCTTGTCGTCGCCATCAAGTTCGCCGCTTCCGATCGGGTCAAGAGATTAAGCCAGTCTTGATTTTTGATAAATTAAGCCACGTCTTAATTTATTTCAAGGTCACCGGGCCGGGTCCGGCGGGCGGCGGCCCGGGCGGCGGCGGGCTACTAGGCTATAGTCGGTCCGGCAGTAGTGAAAAGTGAAGAGGCGGAGAGAGGGCCTGGCCCCCGCAGAGCACAGCACTGCGGCATACCGCAGCACAGCACAGCACAGCACAGCACAGCACAGCACAGCACAGCACAGCACAGCATACGGTCCACACCACACCACACCACAGCTGAGCGGATTCAGTTCTGCGCAAGTGGGGGACCGTAGGCTCCGACAAAGGAGTACTAAGACTGATAGGAAGGCCAACTTGGCAGGGCCTGAGCCATCAGGAGAGGGGGAAGCAGAAGGAGAGAGATGGGAGGGGTCAGGACTGACTGTCTTGCTCTGTTTGCCATGCCAGGTCTCGGAACTTCTCTCGCCGCCATGCCGATCCCTCTTGTGATCCCCGGCCTCGTCATCGCCGGTGCTGCCATCTCGCCTGTTTGCGCTGGAGCTCTGGCTGGAGTTGTTCCAAACCCACTGGCAGACTGGTGAGGGAAGGGAGGCAGGGAGGAAGAGGGAGAGGCGGGAGAAGGGGCGTGGGGGCAGAGGAGGGAAGAGGACTGAGGAGGAGAAGTGTTATGATGATAAACCCTGCTTGCTCATGCCAGGGTGAACGAGAAACTTCACTTCAAGCCGCAGGATGGAGGTCAGACTCAACCCAGAGGCTCAGTGATGTTGCTGAAAGCATGCGCAGTGCGGGAGGACAAGGACGACAAGGACGCGATCTCGACGAGCTCCACACGACGATCAGCGCGACACGAGCCAAGGGAGACGCACCATGATGCCGGAGCAAGAGACAAGAAGATGGCCGCAGCAGCAGCAGCGTCTCACAAGGTGGGAAGACTCCCCAGCCATGAGCGGCCCCACACTTTGCCCAACGTGAGTTCAGGCTACACTCAGTCGCTCCTGTGAGGGGCCTGAGGCAAGCGAGGCAGCAGAGGGAAGGGAGGGGAAGGGGGAGGGGAGAGAGGAGGATCGGGACAGGTGTTTGAATTGAACGAGACAACAATCAATTCATACTCCTTTCAAGTGTAATTGTATTGAGAAACAAACCTGCTGATCGAACATGCAAGAATGCGATTATCCACGAGCGTTTCCTGCACTTGCGATTAGATCTTGCTGGCTTACCCTCGCTCCTCTCCTGTTCCTCTCCTCTTGCTGGCACCTCCATCCTCTCCACCTCTTCCTCGTCCTCTACTAACTTCATTCCTCTCCATCTGCCTTCACCTGGCCAGCGAGGGAAGGGGATGACGTCTCGAATGTTCTCCATGCCAGTGCAGAAAAGGATCAGGCGCTCGAAGCCGAGACCGAAGCCGGAGTGAACGCACGTGCCAAACTTTCTCAGGTCCGTGTACCACTCGTAGACCTGCCGGCGAAGTGGAGGAGGAGGTGGAGGGAAGGGGGACAAAGAGCAGAGGGGAAAGGAGGGAGAGAATGTTAGAGATCGAAACATTTCATTGTCATGACATGAGCTTGACATGACGAGCGCACTTGTGACAACAAGAACATCGCGCGCTTGCTTACCTTGGGGTCAAGATTGAGCTCCTCAAGGCGGCTGACGAGGACTTCATACCTCTCCTCACGCTGAGAGCCCCCGATGAGCTCCCCGACACCTGGCACAAGAACGTCCATGGAGGCAACAGTCTGCTAGGACATGAGCATGAGACAGTCAGGTCAACGCGCCCTCACCTTCCCGTCCTCGTTAGCCCTCATGTAGAATGCCTGTAGAAGATTTCAGCGATGAAGGAGGACGAGAGGAGGAAGACGATGAGATAGATGAGGGAAAGGTTGAAACGGATCGGATGACAGGCCGAGAACTAGAGAGGAAGAGGAAGGGAAAGGAAGAGGAAGGGAGAGGAAGGGAGAGGAAGGGAGGAGGATGAGGATGAGATGTTGGTGAATGAGGTTGAAAGGATGAGGCGATCCAAGATTCACCTTGATCGCCTTGGGATAGTTGTAACAGCAAACTGGCTTCTTGAAGACTTTCTCCGAGATGTATCTCTCATGCTCCGATCCCATGTCCATTCCCCACTCGATCTCATTGTTCTCAAACTTGTGTCCATTTGCTACAGCTTTCTTCAAGATCTCGATCGCCTCTGTCACAAATCAGTGTTAAAACCTCCTCCTCCTCCTCCTCCTCCTCCTCCTCCTCCTCCTCCTCCTCCTCCTCCTCCTCCTCAAATCATCTCCGCCTTCCTCACCTGTATAGCTACATCTTCCAAAAGGCTGCGAGGCTACTGCGCGAACTCTGTCGATGCATCCCTTGTCGTACATCTTGGAGAGAAGGACGAGGTCATCCATGCACTCCTCGAGCACACGAACGCAGCAGTAGCGAACGTAGTCCTGCACGAGACATCAGAGGATACCAAGATGAAAGAAGTCATGTCAGATCATGTCAGATCATTTCAGATCATGTCAGAGACAGGCGCGAAAGGACAGGGGGGAAGAGAGTCAATGGAGACATTTTCTCACCTCGGCGCACTGCATAACGTCGAAGAGGTCGGCGAAGGCGATCTCGGGCTCGATCATCCAGAACTCAGCAAGGTGGCGAGAGGTGTGGCTGTTCTCAGCTCGGAACGTGGGCCCGAAGGTGTAGACTGACGTCATCGCACAGGCGTAGATCTCCGCCTGCAGCTGACCAGATACCGTCATGTTGACTGGCTGCCCAAAGAAGTCCGTGGAGTAGTCGATGCCTCCGGTTGCGGTACGAGGGAGTCCACCCACGTTCTTCGCCGCTGCTTCTGCTTCCTCCACCGCCTTCTTAGCTGCCATGAGCTCGTCAAGCGCCGGCTTCAAGTCCTGCTTCGCCTTCTCCTTGTCCTCGTCCGACCCCTCCTTGCTCGCCTTCTTGATATCCGCGACCTTGCTGCCAGCAGCAGACGCGGCTGCCTTGAGGCTGGCAATGTACTCCTCAGTAGGAGGAGGCTTCTTGCCCGCCTCCTCCGCTGCTGCGAGCATCGTCGTGATCTGAAACATCTCTCCCGCTCCTTCGCAGTCGCTGGCTGTGATGATCGGGGTGTGCACGTACTGGAACCCGCTCTCCTGGAAAAACCTGTGGGTGGCGAAGGCGAGGCAGTTGCGCACGCGTTGGATGGCAGCGATGGTGTTGGTCCTCACGCGGAGATGGATCTTCTCGCGCAGAAACTCGAGGCTAAGCTTGCTCTTGGCGATAGGATAGGCGGCCGCCTCGCAAGTTCCCACATGGAGCATCTTGGAAACATGGAGCTCGGTCTTCTGCTTCGATTCAGCGGGAGCAGCCTTCAGCTCTCCTTCCACCACCACACAGACGCCCGTCTGCTTGATCCTGTCTGGGTTCTCAATCTCAGCCTTGACAAGCACTTGCAAACTGGTCGGGCAGGAGCCGTCGTTGATCTCAAGGAAGGTGAAGGCGCCTTTCTCAGCTGTTCTTCCTGTCTTCACCCATCCTCCCACAACAATCGTCTCTCCGATCAGAGACACCCCCTCGTCCCCTGACAGAACATCCCGTATCGCCGCTCGCATGTACAGACTCTTGGAGTAAGGGTTGGCAATGCTGCCCGGGGACTTCTTGGCGCTCTTCAACTGCTCGAGCTCCTTCTGTCTGGCCGACATCTTCTCCTCTGTCTCCTTCTTCTCGCTCTCGCTCAGGCTTGCATCCTGCAGCTTCTTTCTGAGCTCCTCCACCTCGAACGCTGCGACAGTCGCTGCCATTTTCCACGTGGACGGGGGAATGTAGAAAGCCTGAGGGGGTCCCCCAAATTTAGGGGGTAGGGTACACCGCAGCATGATTTGAAGGGTGGGTTGGTTCCTCCAATAACAGGTAGGGTACTTGAAATACCGCTTTTGTACCGGTCATTTTCAATGTAATTCAACCGGGTGACCTAAATGAATTTCTTCCACATTTAGCGGGTAGGGTGATCATATTCAGGGGTGACCAGACAGGTTGTCGGAAACATATAAAAGGACCCACATTCTGACTCAAAGGTGACATGAGGGTGGGGTACCTCACCCCACCCTTGATAGAAGTGTTCTCTAGCAGGTAGGGTAGCAATCTCAAACAGACAATGTGTGGCAGGCGCTGGAGTGGGAGGAGGAGGACGAGGAGGACGAGGAGGACGAGGAGGAGAAGGTGGTAGTGGTATCTGGAGCGCATGCAGCTGGACGAGGACGTGACTTAGAATAAACGGCAGCCTAGCGCGGAGACAGAGTACAAAAACGAGGAGGAGCTTCTCTGAGGACGAGGAGGGGAAGAAAGGCGAGAGCAGGAGCAGCGGGATCAGGAAAGGAAGGAGTTTGAGAAGCAGAAGAGAAGCTAGATTTGGAGAAAAATGAGCGATGTGAATGATCAGCAGATGAACTAGAAAGGGAAGGCGGTAGAAAAAATTAAGGCTGGTGGCACGATGAGCACGGAGCAACTACTGTTATGCTTACCAGTGCTGTCTTGTAACGATAAGCGGCCTATTGCATCGAACACCACGGCAAACATGAATATGATGATGATATCCCAACTTGACCTGACTTTTCACGTTGCAATCGAGATGAATCGAGTGTATCGATGAACATAGATGCCAAGTCCGACATGTGCACATTTTCAACGGCATAGCTTTGACAACTCACACTTGTGAAGCATCACATCTCATTTGCATTATCTCACATTCGACGATCCACATGATCTAGAAACAGGAAAGCAAAATGTGGCTGACGATTATTTGTGATCAGGGAGGGGGGAGAGTTCAATCAAACGCCTTGAATCTGCTGTTATCACACAATGGCAGCGGCTGGACAGGTTGGTTTGCCAACGATCCTCTCGTATCTATCTCGTGTGTTCGCTTATTGCTTCTTGTCATCAGATCAGCGCAAACCCACCAAGAACAGATTATGCGTTCAAAGTAGTTCATTGGCCATTTCAATCTCCTGGTTGTAAGGTCTGCGTAGGTTTTGGTTGTCGGTGATCCTAGAGTTGGGAAGACTTCAATCATCAACCGATATGTGCATGGTAACTTCCCTTCCTCCCGTCCTGGGTACACACTGACGTGATGCTCCGTCCGTCTTTGCTGTTTGCAGGCTCCTTTGACATACACTACAAGCTCACTCTAGGCGTAGACTTTGCTCTCAAGGTGCTGGAGACCTTCTTTATCACGTTCCAAATGTTTCCGGACAGGTGATTCATCGTCCGTCCAGCATTATTCGGCTGCAACTCCGAGACATAGCAGGACAGGCAAGAAGTTGTATGTTTGCATTCCAAGGCCTCACATGTGCGTGAAGGAGAAAGCTGGGACTATGACGAGGGTGTACTACAGAGACGCAAACGCAGCAGTTGTAGTCTTTGATGTCACAAGAAATGTGAGTTGAGCACTTCTTCAGCCTGAGTTCGACAAGATGACACAAAGTTCGTTTCAAAGATCACATTGCAGTCCGTGAAGATATGGAAACAAGACATCGATAGGTTCTTTCCGTGTGTAAGAGAGTTCTTTGCTGAGAATGCCTACTTTAATGTCAGTAAGCTAAGCCTTCCTGACGGTCGTCGAATCCCTGCGGTAGGAGAAGCTCAAGAGGCAAGAGGCAAGTCGCTGACAAACTCTCAACAGGTTCTATTAGCGAACAAATGCGATCTAGACGCAGACCCTGCTGTTACCGAGCAGGTTGCATCGACCCTTCTGAAGCATGCGGAGCTCCCTGCTCTGATACTCCTGTGACGCTGCTGCCCTCCAGGTTCTACAAGATCTTGTGACGGAAGACCAATTTATTGGTGAAGCGAAAAGGCAGCTCTTTGAAATCATTATGACTGTCGGATGTAGGCTGGTTTCTTACATCGGCTAAGGACGACAAGAACGTTGCAGAAGCATTCAACTTCCTTATAGATCGTAATCATCGTCATGATACTGCATGTTGACACTGATTGAACGTGTTTGCCAGGGGCGATCTCAGATTACGAAGCTACCAGAAGATTTCAGCAGGACAACAGGTACCTACATGTCTCGGTAGGGCAAGAAATCCTAACAATCTTTGGAAGGCCGCAAGGAACAATCTCATTGTCTCAGAATGAGCGGAGGGGAGGCAACTGCAGTTGTTAAAACTCACACCATCACATGACAACTGATTGTGGGTGTGCGACTGACTACCACAAGTTTCAAGAATTCATGACTGTACAAATAAATGAGTGCATGACCAGGATTTTCAACGCAGGTCAGCACTCACATGAAGCTGCAAATCTATAAGCTACACAAAAAGTTAGGAGCTGGACGTTTCTCCATCCGCCTCCTCTTAACCATATCACATTTCAACCTATGATGACGAGCGACTCAACTTTAACCGGGGCATCTTCGTTTTGGGGTCCACACTCTTCTTTCTTGGAACGATGTACGTTTCGCTCTTGTCACACTCTTCGATCTCTGTGTCAAACGCTATCGGAGATCCTTGAGGAGAAACATCCACGGAAGTCTCCATAGACTCTTGCTGTCGCGCGCCTTTCTCACTGCTGGAACCAGATCCACTCGAGCTCAAGTCATGAACATCGTCAAACAGCGATTCCACATATTCTTCGGTCTCGCTCATGATGGAGGCAGAGCTCAGGGTGCGCGTCACGTTCATGTCCGGGATGAAGAAGTCCGCCTTCAGTCGCGGAGGCTCCCGCGACAGCGCTCGTTGCTTGCATTGCCCGCAGGCGTAACGGCTGTACTCGTGCCAAGTGTACCGGACACACTGACAGCACGAGAACTGCAGGCCGTACCAAGCTCTCTCATACGAGCACACGTCCGGATCCTTCGATCGAGGTTGTACCAGCCTCCCGCAGCCACTCTCACAGAAGTAGGGCATCCTCTACAAGTGCCCAAGAAGATCCCACCTGTTAAAATATTGAATTTCAGTGAGTGGAATCTCTGCCCATCCAAATTTTGTTATCATCTATGCACGTGAGCCAAAAGTTTCTCCTAATATTTAGTGCAACCAAGAAAAGGATTCAACAACTCTTTCCTTCACAATCACTCGCTTTCAGAGAGCTCTGTTGAACTTGTGTGCATCTCTGCGCTCACAATGGTTCTAGCTTTCAGACACGAGCTCGTCAAGATTGCCTGCTCGTGTCCTGTCGCCCTATACAAACTTTCCTAGCGCTACTTGCCTTCTGCACTACTGCATTCCTCCTTTCCCCCACAAGACAAGGGTACCCTTTGTTCCAAGGTATTTACTATAAATACTATTAATTTATGGTAATTCAAGAACAAATCTATAGTTTATTGATACTTTTGTGACCTTTTCTCATAGCCTATGTTACAAATTTATACAACGACCCTGAAGACTACAAATGATAATATATTTTTTCTGCTAACTTCCGTGGGTTGAAAGATGTAGAGGGGGTAGGGTGTTGTGAAAGACGAGGTATTGAGTAGAGGGGTCTGAAAGCGACGGGGTATCAGGAGCTACATTTTTACCTATGGATCTACTTAAAGATTCTATCCTGTTGGAGGTGTAAGCCATGCATTTGTCCGGGGACTAGCAGGGAAAAGTGTGAGTAGAAATATTTTATCGAGGGGATGTAGCAATGAATATCGGGAGGGGTGCTTTCGTATAGATGAGGGGTGGGGGGTACAGCACGTAGAGGCGTAGTTCTTTAATCTGAAAACACTCCTTTTCATTAATGTGCAAAAACAAATTTCATGAAGAAGTCTATTTTGGGGCCTCCAGTCAAAACTCTGAGGCAGACTTGATCTCAACAAATCTCAGTGCGTCGCCGCACTGCGGCAAGCCGCGCCGGGGGCCCGCCGTGACCTTATTGCACGGTCCTTCCCGTCGGACGGTGGCGTGGGTACGGAGTACGGTCGGTGAGTCAGGGCCCGGCACGAACTTTGGCAGGCTTCGTAAATCCGAGCCTCAGGATACTACTAAAACAAAACCATTTCAAGTTTGATACACAAAGACAGAACTTGAACATGAAAGTAGCTCGAGTCGTCTTCAAACCGTTGAACCGTTGAACAGTGCCGCGAGGCTATCACCGTATCTAACTGAGCATGAGCTCATCTTCCAGCCCCCTGCAGAAATGCTTCAGAGCCCTGATCGGACCTCTTGCAATCACTCTCAGAGACACCGTGACAACTCACCATGGGATGAACAGCTTCTGCTGCTCGTCGAAGACGTAACAGAAGGGATTGCTGGGCTTTGCACACTCGTCTTGATAGCTGCAGACCCACACCTCGTACTCGCCTCGAGTCATCAGCTTCCCGAGTCCACCCGACTTGAAGGTCTGGTTCTTTGCCAATTGTCCGTAGATGATATCTTTCCATGTGTGATTCATATGGCAGTTGACGTAGACTGGGTGAAGAAACCAGTTTGGCCCCAAGGGGGTTGAAGCAGGATTGTCAATCACAGAACCGTAGTATATTTCCGCGACTTGCAGGGCTGTGAGGGCTTGATCGTAAATACGGAAGTCGTCCATGCCGCCATCAGTCTTTCCGTCTACTTCCCAATGAGAACGCGCAATATACCATCCCCTTTCATCCATGGGAATGGAAGTCAGACCGCTAGCATGACACGCATCGCACACCAGCTCGTTATCGATCCATACCGACCATGTGTTTGCCGACGCGCTTCCGTTCTTGTTGATGGAGAAAACAAAGTGATGCCAACTCGAGATCACGTGATCAGAAAAAGGCAACGGAAAATAACCTTTGCCGTCGTACACATCCAGTTGAAGCCATCTCGGCCACGTTGACGTGCCTGGAGCGGCGAACAACCAGTTGTATAGGTTTGAGCCTCCACCGTGGTAAAAGTAGTTGCTATTCCCACCAAAGTCAAAGTAGCGAGCCCAACTTCCACTCGCTCCCGTCATGTAGCCCCAGAAGCTGACGGCGATGCCGCTCTTCTGCTGGATTGTACCAAGATCCAAACGGTTGTCCACTGTCATGTACTGCTGGGTCCCGCTTGCGCTGAAGTGCGCACAGCCATCCCCCTGTTTACAGTTTGTGCCAGAATCATATGTAGCTCCGTAGTTTGTTGCGTTGTAGCCGTTGCCGCTGCTGTCTTTCCCCAAATCATTGGGGTCATCGAACTTGTACCAGACGATGGGTTTGAGGTCTGCGCTCTTGTTCTTGTCCACCGGTAGTGGTTGGTCTGGTCGGATCCACACCAGTTGGTGTTGTGGTTGGGAGGAAGGGACCGACAGTGGTTTGTTGCGACAGCGATGCGGTGGTGTCGGCAGCTGTGGAAGAGGATGCTGGTGGGGTTGTGGTTGGGATGAAGGAGGTTGCGATGGAGGTGCTGTCTGGGCTGTAGTCGCATAGAGTCTCGTTGAGGCAAGGCTCGAGATTCGGGTCCTTGCTAACAAAGCTTGGCCAAGACGGATGATAGCACGGCAGATTGTTGCCTTGAAGCAGTAAAAAAGAAAGTGAAGACAAACCAGCAAAAGCTTGGGAGGAAATGCAAGCAAAACGGTTGTAGTTGAGATATAGATACTGCAAGCTGGAGAGCCCGTCGAAGGTCCCTGCAGGCAGACTCTGCAGGTTGTTGTAGGAAAGAAAAAGCACCTGCAAGCTGGAGAGCCCGTCGAAGGTCCCTGCTGGCAGACTCTGCAGTTTGTTGTAGTCAAGATATAGATACTGCAAGCTGGAGAGCCCGTCGAAGGTCCCTGCAGGCAGACTCTGCAGTTTGTTGTAGTCAAGATATAGATACCGCAAGCTGGAGAGCCCTTGGAAGGTCCCTGCTGGCAGACTCTGCAGTTTGTTGTAGTCAAGATATAGCGTCTGCAAGCTGGAGAGCCCTTGGAAGGTCCCTGCAGGCAGACTCTGCAAGTTGTTGTAGGAAAGATATAGCGTCTGCAAGCTGGAGAGCCCGTCGAAGGTCCCTGCTGGCAGACTCTGCAGGTTGTTGCTGGAAAGATATAGATACTGCAAGCTGGAGAGCCCGTCGAAGGTCCCTGAAGGCAGACTCTGCAGGTTGTTGTTGTAAAGATATAGCCGCTGCAAGCTGGAGAACCCGTCGAAGGTCCCTGCAGAAAGGTTCTGAAGGTTGTTGTTGTGAAGATATAGATACTGCAAGCTGGAGAGCCCGTCGAAGGTCCCTGCAGAAAGGTTCTGCAGTTCGTTGTTGTAAAGATATAGATACTGCAAGCTGGAGAGCCCGTCGAAGGTCCCTGCAGGCAGACTCTGCAGTTTGTTGTAGTCAAGATATAGATACTGCAAGCTGGAGAGCCCTTGGAAGGTCCCTGCTGGCAGACTCTGCAGTTTGTTGTAGTCAAGATATAGATACTGCAAGCTGGAGAGCCCTTGGAAGGTCCCTGCAGGCAGACTCTGCAGTTCGTTGTTGTTGTCAAGATATAGATACTGCAAGCTGGAGAGCCCTTGGAAGGTCCCTGCAGGCAGACTCTGCAGGTTGTTGTAGGAAAGATATAGCCGCTTCAAGCTGGAGAGCCCTTGGAAGGTCCCTGCTGGCAGACTCTGCAGGTTGTTGTAGTCAAGATATAGATACTGCAAGCTGGAGAGCCCTTGGAAGGTCCCTGAAGGCAGACTCTGAAGGTTGTTGTAGGAAAGAAATAGAAACTGCAAGCTGGAGAGCCCTTGGAAGGTCCCTGCAGAAAGGTTCTGCAGGTTGTTGTAGTCAAGATATAGATACTGCAAGCTGGAGAGCCCTTGGAAAGTCCCTGAAGGCAGACTCTGAAGGTTGTTGTAGTAAAGATATAGCCCCTGCAAGCTGGAGAGCCCTTGGAAGGTCCCTGCAGAAAGGTTCTGCAGGTTGTTGCCGGCAAGATATAGAAACTGCAAGCTGGAGAGCCCTTGGAAGGTCCCTGCAGGCAGACTCTGCAGGTTGTTGCCGGCAAGATATAGCCGCTGCAAGCTGGAGAGCCCTTGGAAGGTCCCTGCTGGCAGACTCTGCAGTTTGTTGCTGGAAAGATATAGCGTCTGCAAGCTGGAGAGCCCTTGGAAGGTCCCTGCAGGCAGACTCTGCAGGTTGTTGTTGTAAAGATATAGATACTGCAAGCTGGACAGCCCGTCGAAGGTCCCGTTCGTTATGTTCCGTATACCCCGGGAGTTCAGATAAAATCTTTTGGAACCATAAAAATCAGTTCCACAATCTCCGCCACAGGTCCCCTGCCTCGACAACAACCCCTCATCCGAGATAAGAAACGTGCAGCTCCCGCAGCTCTCGCTGCTTGCCGCCTCAGCCTGCTGGTACATGCCATCCAAGACTACAAGCCAAAGCACACACGCACACAACAGCCTCCTCATGCTCACTCCCTCACTCCGCATATGCATGTAAATCCACCCCAACTGACTGACTAGCAGGTAGGAGAGGCTTGACTGATATAATTACTTAAGTGGAAGGCACAAACAACAGCGAACGAGAAAGAGAAAAGCACTGATCGACAAGCCCGCCTCTCCGAGATACCCCAAGGAGCAGGAGGCAGCGAGCACCTCTACGACACAACGAACATCATCCGATCCAGTAGGTCATCCTTCCGTTCCCATTGTGCGCAGCTATCCATGGCTGCATGCCAGTAGCTAATATGCGAGGGTCACAAACATGCAGTCATAGTGGTACCCTTGTCTTCAATGTTATCAGATATAGCATCAACAATACACAGCCATGTAGCGGCGCAGAGACGAAGAGGAGGGCTTATATTCTAGCATACAATCTATCTCTCATGTGCTCCTCAATCCTTGTTTCAGTTGTGTGCATTAAACTTGGTCTTGAGCAAAAACTGTCTTGTTGCAGCTAAGGTCGACATGATTTCCGATAAGCCTTCTTGGAGCAGCATACTTTCCTGAGAGAGCGGGTGCTTGACCAAGGTGCCCCTGGGTGATGCTCAGCTGGACATGAACGAGTGGAGTGTTGTTGTACACTGGCGCAACCTTCGGGAACGAGGGAGAGCACCTTCAAACAAGGAAACAGAGAACAAATGGGAAAATTGAAAAAAAACAAGACAAAAAGCAAAAACATCTAATTTTCAATATTCGCTGTTCTCGCAAATAGCCAGGCATGCTTCCCAACACTCTATCTATCAAATTGATCACCTCGCTAGCAGTCATTTCTAACATAGATCATCTTGCTTTTTTTATGAGGCTGCATGGAGCAGCACAAGGAGGCTGAGAAGGATTGACTGAGAAAAACTTTGAGTTTTAGTCATACAACGGGAAGGATGATGTGCGTTTTGACCAGATCGTCTTACTTGGCACGAGATCTTTTTGAAGATTCTCATGAATCGTCTTGTATCTCAGTGTTTGTATGATTGAAATAGCTTTGCTTTGCTTTGCTTTGCTTTGCTTGGATTCCTTTTCAGTGCAAAGTTAGGCACGCAACCTTCGCCTGCCTCCTTTCCTTGCCTTTCTTCCATCCGTATGTCTTCAGCGCCCCGCAGTCTTCGACAGGACTTATCCGGAACACCGGCATCCTCTCTCGTGGAATGAGAAAGATGATCTCCACCCTCCACACAAGACCTGCAGAAATCCCGAGGGCCATTAGATTATCCAAGAAGAACGAAAGCTTCAGACTGGGCTTCCTGGCCACGGTTGCCTGCACAAACACTGCCCTTTTCGCATCCTTGTCAACAATCACAGCATCATATCCTCCTTGAAGCTCGCTGATCGGTCTGAAGCATACTGCAGTGCTGGGGAGAGAAGGCTTGAGTTGCAGCGGATCAAAGAACACAACGCTACAAGGTTCCCAAGGCTGAGCCTTAATTGGTCTGCTATGTAATCTGCGGTAAGTCAATCTCAAGCCCCGTTGCACCTCCTTGAAAGACATCAACTCGAATAGGGTTCCCTTCACTGCCGCACTGTATGCGCCATACGTGGAGAAAATCCTCTTGAGCTCCTCCGCCTCAACCTGGAGCATAAGCCTCCAGGAAACATACATGCTTACTTGCAACCAGCTCAGTACACCGTCAATCTCATTAATTACATTAACCTCTCTAAAACCGTCTGCTGCCTAAAAAGTCAATGTAACTCACTTCTCCTGTCAACTCTGTGTTTGACTCGGAGGGGGGTGGGGTGAGGGTGAAGGGGTGGTGTCGGTGTCTGTGAGAAACGGGTATGTCTGGTATTAGTGTCTCAATATTGGCAACTGAGGGGGTCATGCAGGTACGAGGGAGTAGAGGGGGTGACAGAAGCTTGACACTGACAAGGGGTGGGTAGCTTCCTCCCATCAAGTAGATATGCAGGCGATGCCGATGCGGCAGTGCCGGCTAGAGGGAGGGCGAGGGGCATGTGGCAACGGCCGATGCTCGGAGACGAAGTGATGTTGTCGATGGTTGAGCGACCTCGCTGCTCCTCTCTCTGCGGCTACACGTCGCTGAGCATGCTCCCCTGCGGCCAGGCTGGCAGCCTCTTGCTGGTTTTCTTGCTGGGTTGGTCCACGTGCATTCAGGGACAGCGACTGTACCGCTTGACCGAAGACCATGTCGAGACAGACGCGCTGCTCAACCTTCCTGCAGATGCGCTGAGGTATCAACCCAACAGAACAAGCGCTGGATGCGGTCTGAGGCTGGAGTCTAACGTGGGTAAGCTTGCCTTTGCCAGAACGAGCCATCATGTATCTAGAGAGCAAGTCCCGCATGGAGCCTGCATGTGTGAGCAACGCGCTCAGAGCATTGAATGCCTCATCGCCTGTGCTATATCTTGCTGCTTTGAAGTGAGAAGGCCGATGATGACTCAGTAGACACCCGTACCATCCACAGAGAAAGTTTGAGAATGCCCTTGAGCTGAAGCCTACAACAGGTGTGGAGAAGGGGTTCGTTGTGTCGGGCTGGCACGAGGGAGACTTCGTTGTTGAGCTGGCCTTCTGCGATTACAGCATTCTACAGCCACACGCTTATCAGGCGATCCTGGGCATTGTCCTGGTCCAAGACAACACCGACATCTCATCTGTCAAGCCTGGGCTGTTCATGAAGACGCACAGTGATCTTGATTACACGTGAGTCCTCTTCGGACATGGTGCGTTGTGTGTGTCATGTGACAAGAAGCTGTTCATGCGCAGGTGGGTTGAGCTCAACAACGGGACGTTGGTGAAGGGGAGCTCTCTGTCGCCGCGACTGCAGTCAGGCATGCTGCGCGTGCAGAGGAGGAGAAACATTCTCCGTGGGTTCTTGTGGCACCCTGGGGACTTGAAGTGGGCAGAGCTGACATACAACAGTCAAGGGGTGAAGGATTTCTACTTTCCTGGTCGAGTCAAAGTCGGAGTGAAGGTGCTGAGGAACTACGTCAGTGCCTACTCCGTCTCGCTCAGTGGGTTGTACATACTGGCAGACGGCGACGGCGATGGGTTGGGAGACGAGACTGAGCTGCTGGTCGGATCCGACGAGTCTCAAGTCGATACGGACCAGGACGCTGAGACTGACTGGAATGACCTACAACCCAAGGTCAAGAACGAGTTGCTCCCCCGGACATATCACAGATGTTGTGCTGCGATCCGTTGATGATATCCCTGCACTGCAGCAGCGACAAGGCGTCCACCATTGCCGCCATTGACAACCCTACAAACTCCTTCATCACGCTGAGTGGAGGTCTGAGCGAGAAGATCGTTTGGAGGAACTCGTCCATCATCACTGCGTCTTGGCTTCCTCCTTCACGTCCCTGGTCGCTTGAGACGATCTCTCCTCTAGAGAGCACGGTGATTGTCATCTCCGACCCTCCTCCCGTCATCGTCGCTCCTGCTCTGTTGCGGGGCTTCATCGTTGAGTCGGCAGGGGAGAAGCTTCAGGTGAGCTTGACATCAGCTGCTGTAGACAGCTGCTCCGACGTCGAGCAGGTCTCTTGGAGGTTCGACCCTCCAGCCAACATCTCTGTGGACCACAAGGAAGATGCCGGGGAGGTAGTCTTGTCCTTCCCGTCCTCAGCATGCGGATCGTTCCCGATCGCCGTCGATGTCAACTCTAGCTTTCAGCACAGGTCGTTCTTGATGCCCTTGACCTTGTTCCGTCGATCTTCGTCGCTCCTCACCAACGGAGCCTTGGAAGCAAGAGCATAGGGCGGCGACGGCTACATGCAGGCTTGTGCGGGTTGGAATGTCTATCAATCATCGGAATGCTGCGGATGATGAGCGAGCGGTATCACGGGAGTATTTCTTTCTTTTCAGTCCACCAAGGGGTAGGCTCATCAAGGCTTTGTTTCTCGCACAGTCGTTAACATGATGCTTGCCTGGCTCAATGTGTTGTGACTCATTGGTTGACTTGAGCTTTTGCTTGTTCGAAATTGAGGCTCTGTTGGACATCAACGTGGTACGTGGTTACAAGTTTTGGCATTGTGTTACAAGTTTTTTCTTTCTCCTCATTAGACTCTCATGCTTGGCCTCTAGATCGAAGACAACGCGATCAATCCACTCATTGTCAATCACACCCAGCACGATCATCAAATCATAGAGAGCAAACACTCGCACACAAGGAGAGGTTTGGCCCTCTCCTCCGTCTATCGCCTTATCTAGCTGAGGATGAGCTCATCCTCCAGCCCCCTGTAGAAATGCTTCAGTGCCATGACCTCTTGCAATAAACCGTGACAACTCACCATGGCATGAAGAGCTTCTGCTGCTCGTCGAAGACGTAACAGAAGGGATTGCTGGGCTTTGCACACTCGTCTTGATAGCTGCAGACCCACACCTCGACCTCGTTCAGCCTCATCAGCTTCCCGAGTCCACCGGACTTGAAGGTCTGGTTCTTTGCCAACAGTCCGGGGATGATATCGTCCCATGTGTGATTCATTTGGCAGTTGACGTAGACCGGGCGGAGAAACCAGTTTGACTTGGAGGGGGTTGAAGCAGGATCGTGTGTCACAGAATCGTAGTATATTTCTGCGACTTGCAGGGCTGTGAGGGCTTGATCGTAAATACGGAAGTCGTCCATGCCGCCATCAGTCTTTCCGTCTACTTCCCAATGAGAACGCGCAATATACCATCCCCTTTCATCCATGGGAATGGAAGTCAGACCGCTAGCATGACACGCATCGCACACCAGCTCGTTATCGATCCATACCGACCATGTGTTTGCCGACGCGCTTCCGTTCTTGTTGATGGAGAAAACAAAGTGATGCCAATTCGAGATCACGTGATCAGAAAAACGCAACGGAAAATAACCCTTCCCGTCGTACACATCCAGTTGAAGCCAGCTCGGGTACGTTGCCGTGCTTGGAGCGGCAAACAACCAGTTGTATAGGTTCGTGCCTCCACCGTGGTAGGAGTAGTTGCTATTCCTCCCACCAAAGTCAAAGTATCGCGCCCAACTTCCACTCGATCCCGTCATGTAGCCCCAGAAGCTGACGGCGATGCCGCTTTTCTGCTGGATTGCACCAAGATCCAAACGGTTATCGACTGTCATGTACTGCTGGGTCCCGCTTGCGCTGAAGTGCGCACAGCCATCCCCCTGTTTACAGTTAGTGCCAGCATCATATGTAGCTCCGTAGTTTGTTGCGTTGTAGCCGTTGCCGCTGCTGTCTTTCCCCAGATCATTGGGGTCATCGAATTTGTACCAGACGATGGGTTTGAGGTCTGCGCTCTTGTTCGCGTCCGCCGGCAATGGTTGGTCTGGATCCACACCAGTTGGTGTTGTAGTAGGAGGGAGGAAGGGACCAAGAGTGGTCTGTTGCGACAGCGATGCGGTGGTGTCGGCAGCTGTGGAAGAGGATGCTGGTGGGGTTGTGGTCGGGTCAAAGGAGGTCGCGATGGAGGTGCTGACTCGGCTGTTGTTGCAAAGAGTCTCGTTGAGGCAAGGCTTGAGGTTCGAGTCCTTGCTGGCAAAGCTTGGCCAAGACGGATGATAGCACGGCAGATTGTTGCCTGTCAGGCCTAGAGAAGAAAGCGAAGACAAACCAGCAAAAGCCTGGGAGGAAATGCAAGCAATGACGTTGTCGTCAAGATATAGCCAATACAAGCTCGAGAGGCCTTGAAAGGTCCCTGCAGCAAGACTCTGCAGGTTGTTGTATTCAAGAGATAGCATCTGCAAGCTCGAGAGTCCGTCGAAGGTCCCTGCAGGAAGACTCTGCAGGTTGTTGTAGTAGAGAAATAGATACTGCAAGCTGGAGAGCCCTTGGAAGATTCCTGCAGGCAGACTCTCCAGCTTGTTGTCGGACAGATATAGCCAATGCAAGCTCGAGAGGCCTTGAAAGGTCCCTGCAGCAAGACTCTGCAGGTAGTTGTATTCAAGAGATAGCATCTGCAAGCTCGAGAGTCCGTCGAAGGTCCCTGCAGAAAGACTCTCCAGGTAGTTGTCGTAGAGATATAGATACTGTAAGCTCGAGAGCCCGTCGAAAGTCCCGTTCGTTATGTTCCGAATACCCAGCGAGCCCAGATACAATGTTTTTTGACCGTTTACATCCGTTCCACAGTCTCCGCCACAGGTCCCCTGTCTCGACAACAACCCCTCATCCGAGACAAGAAACGTGCAGCTCCCGCAGCTCACGCTGCTTGCCGCCTCAGCCTGTTGGTACATGCCATCCAAGATTACAACCCAAAGCACACACGCACACAACCTTCTTCTCATGCTCCCTCCCTCACTCCACTTCAATGGCACCATGACGTGGTTTATATCCACTTGCTTGGGTCTTGCGCAACTGACTGACTAGGTAGAGCAGAGGCTTGACTGATATCATTACTTGAGTGGAACGCTCAAACCGCAGCAAACGGGAAGCACAAACATTATATCAACAAGCCCGCCTCTACGAGATGCAGCAAGATGCAAGAGGCAGCGATCGCCTCTACTACACCATCTGTCTGCTACCTCCGACTCAAATATTACTCACTTCTCCTGTCAAGTTTGTGATTGACTCGGAGGGGGGTGGGGTGAAGTAGGGAGGGGTATTTAGAGGCATTCGAGGAGAGCGGGGTACGGGTACTGGCTCTGACATTAGTATCTCAATACGGTCAACTACGGGGGTCATGGATGTGATATACGAGGAGGTAGGGGGAGGGGGTTGAAAGAAGCTTGACACTGACAAGGGGTGGGTAGCTTCCTCCCATCTAGTAGGTATGCAGGCGATGCCGATGCGGCAGTGCTGGCCAGAGGGAGGGCGGGGGCATGTGGCAACGGCCGCTGCTCGGAGACGAAGCGATCTTGTCGATGGTTGAGCGACCTCGCTGCTCCTCTCTCCGCGGCTACACATCTCTCAGCATGTTCCCCTGCGGCCAGGCTGGCAGCCTCGTGCTGGTTTTCTTGCTGGGTTGGTCCACGTGCATTCAGGGACAGCGACTGTACCGCTTGACCGAAGAACATGTCGAGACAGACGCGCTGCTCAACCTTCCTGCCGATGCGTTGAGGTATCAACCCAACAGAACCAGCGCTGGATGCGGTCTGAGGCTGGAGTCTAACGCGGGTAAGCTTGCCTTTGCGAGAACGAGCCATCATGTATCTAGAGAGCGACTCCCGCATGGAGTCTGCATGCAAAGCGCTCAGATCATTGAATGCCGCATCGCTTGTGCTATATCTTGCTGCTTTGAAGTGAGAAGGCCGATGATGACTACAAGCCTACAACAGGTGTGGAGAAGGGGTTCGTTGTGTCGGGTTGGCACGAGGGAGACTTCATGGTCGAGCTCGCTTTCTGCGATTACAGCATTCTACAGCCACATGCTTATCAGGCAATCCTGGGCATTGTCCTGGTCCAAGACAATACCGACATCTCATCTGTCAAGTCTGGGCTGTTCATGAAGACGCACAGCGATCTTGATTACACGTAAGTCCTCTCTGCGGACATGATGCGTTGTGTGTGTGATGTGACAAGATGCTGTTCATGCGCAGGTGGGTTGAGCTCAACAACGGGACGTTGGTGAAGGGGAGCTCTCTGTCGCCGCGACTGCAGTCAGGCATGCTGCGGGTGCAGAGGAGGAGGAACGTTCTCCGTGGGTTCTTGTGGCACCCTGGGGACTTGAAGTGGTCAGAGCTGACGTACAACAGTCAAGGGGTGAAGGATTTCTACTTTCCTGGTCGAGTCAAAGTCGGAGTGAAGGTGCTGAGGAACTACGTCAGCGCCTACTCCGTCTCGCTCAGTGGGTTGTACATACTGGCAGACGGCGACGGCGATGGGTTGGGAGACGAGACTGAGCTGCTGGTCGGATCCGACGAGTCCCAAGTCGATACAGACCAGGATGCTGTGACTGACTGGAATGATCTACAACCCAAGGTGAAGAACAAGTATGCTCCCCCGGACACATCACAGATGTTGTGCTGCGACCCCTTGATGATATCCCTTCACTGCAGCAGCGACAAGACGTCCACCATTGCCACGGTGGACAACCCTACAAACTCCTTCATCACGCTGAGTGGAGGTCTGAGCGAGAAGATCGTTTGGAGGAACTTGTCGATCATCACTGCGTCTTGGCTTCCTCCTTCACGTCCCTGGTCACTGGAGACGATCTCGCCTCTAGAGAGCACGGTGATTGTCATCTCCGACCCTCCTCCCGTCATCGTCGCTCCTGCTCTCTTGCGGGGCTTCATCGTTGAGTCGGCAGAGGAGAAGCTTCAGCTGAGCTTGACGTCAGCAGCTGTAGACAGCTGCTCCGACGTGGAGCAGGTCTGTTGGAGGTTCGACCCTCCAGCCAACATCTCTGTGGATCACAAGGAGGATGACGAGGAGGTAGTCTTGTCCTTCCCGTCCTCAGCATGCGGATCGTTTCCTATCGCCGTCAATGTCAACTCAACCTTGCAGCACAGGTCGTTCTTGATGCCCTTGACCTTGTTCCGTCGATCTTCGTCGCTCCTCACCAACGGTGCTTTGGAAGCCAGAGCCGATGGCGGGGACGGCTACATGCAGTCTCCTCCTGGTTGGAAGTTCTGGCAGTGGGAGGGAGTGTATGCTATCGAGCACACGAGACGAGCAGCGTTCACTGGCAATTCTTCCTTCATGATCGATGGGAAGGCGGCTGGGAAGGCAGGAATCTTTCAGGTGACTTTCTTCTATCTCGCTGGGTTGGTTGCGCTCTCGTGCTGACCGTTGTCAGGTCGTGGAGCTGGCGGGAGGAGGCGTCTACGAGCTGACCTGTATGGTGGCATCTCAGAACCTTAAGGGGAACGACTGGGGGGCTACGGCAGAGCTGCTGGTGGTGCAGCAGGATGGGAAATTGTACTCTCGGAGCAAATTTATGCCGCAAAACTCAGGGTGGAGGAAAGTTTCCTTGCTGTTTGACGTGCCTTCGGCTCAGACTTTGACCGTCTACCTGCGCTCCTTCGGGACGGGGATCGTGCTGTATGACGACGTGCGGCTAGAGCTGCTGAGCTGCTACCCCAACATCTCATCCGAGCAGTTCGTTGTAGAGGAGGAGTTGAAGGATGTGAATATGGTCTTCTACACCGACGTCCAGTCTCTTGTTCTCTGCGGGTTCTGCAACCAGTCAAGTACCGCGCTGCTGGGTAGCAGCGCCGCATTTGACAGCTCGGAGATCTGCCGAGTCTGCAATGAGCTGGGCTGGCAGCAGGGAAAGAACACATCCGACGTCAAGGTCGAGCCCAGGACCCTCTGTAACTTCGAGCAAGGACGGCCGCTGCCCTTCTATTCCTCCTCAAGCTGGAGCTTCGTTACTGACAGGGCGATCGAAGGCAACCAGAGCGCTAGGGTCCTTGCTGGGAGGTACATCGCGTCCAACACCGAGCTCGGGAGCGACTGGAGCCAGTACGGGTACCTGACCTTCTCTGTAAGGAACCCCTCCTCCTCTCCCCAGCCTGTCTATGTAGAGATCAGGGACATCTATAGCAAGGACTACTGGAGCAGGGTGAACTGGTACACCTCAGCACCTGCTGGATCAGGACGGATCATCATGCCCCTTGTCATCTTCGTGGGAGAGAAGAGCGTTCATCAGGTCCTTGCATATTTTCCTTCACCTCCTCCTCCCCCTTCTCCTCCTCTAACCTCCCCACCCACCCCTATCAAGTTCCTCCTCGTAGCTCCTCCTTCTCCACCTCCTCTTCCTCCTCCTCCACCACCACTTCCTCCTCATCCTCCTCTTCCTCCACCACCACCTCCTCCACCACCACCACCACCACCACCACCACCACCACCACCTCCTCCTCCTCCTCCT